GTACACTCCAAGATATATAGTGGCTAAATTTAACAATTCAATTCAGAGACAGTGAACCAAAAAGGAAGCAGATGGTATTAAGAATCAGTCTGAATTTATACTGGGAAGGGTTAAGATTACCCAGAGGTAATCTAATCAAAATCTGCATTTTCCAGATGAGGAAACTGAAACCATTTTATAGATAATGAAACTAAAAATGTTACAATTTACACATAATCATATGTTGTCTTCGTTCAGTTGTTTTAGTCATGTCTGACTCTTCATGAACCCATTTGAGGTTTTCTTGGCAAAGATGTTGAAATGGTTTGCTATTTCCTTCTCCAGTTCGTTTCACATATGAGAAATTGAGGCAAACAGGGTTAAGTGACTTGCCCAGGGTCACACAATTACATAAGTAGTATGTAAGAGAAAGTAGCAGAGCCAGGATTTGAACCTACATCTTCTATTCAGATCCAGAATTCTATACCAGACTGCCTGTCTCCTCTTTTCAGTAGACATTAATTTAACTATTGGTACTGTAAACTGGAGTTCTTAGTCTAATGACAAAGGAATTTAAATGTTTCTGAAGGAGTTGAGCATTTATATCCTCTTTATAAAAAAACAAAACCAAACCAAACCAGAAAACAAAGATTTTTCGTCTGAATAGAAAAATGGCTCACAAGTTCTCAGAAAGGCAAATAAAGAAGTTGATGGCATGAGTTTCTATCCAAAACCAACAAAAACTGTTTCAGAGGGTATTTGGTCATGTTACCTTGGGCTTATGATCAACATAGGCAAAAAGATCGTAAAGAAAATAGCAACATATACACCAACATCTGATGTGGAGAACAAAGAACTTAGCAAGATCCTCTAGTCTAAACCCAGTAACATGTAGTTGTGACTATAATAGTTTATAACTTCAACCTGAAAGTAGGTACAGGGAGGATGGTGAAAAATATGTTAGGAAGAATTGTGTTTGGGATTAGGAAATGAAAACTTCCTTGTATGGAAGCTTCAGGCCGGTATATCATGAGTATTTACTTGATGAAGAGAGAAGGTGCTTGATAAGACAAACAACATCAAAAATTCAAATGTACCTTTGATGTTGCTTGTTGTTTGCCTTGTCTAGCGCCTTCTAACGATCTTCAAGTATATGCTTATGACATACCAGCACAAAGCTTCTGAGACATCTACAAACTTTATATCAGTTGAACTTCTCTAAGGAATGGTGGTAACCAAAATCAATTTCTCTACCTATTTTCTCATTTCTCAGAGTTGGGTATGCTGTTAATTATACATAGTGTCTTCTCTTTTTGCCTTATCTTCAGATTTCATGTGGATTTTTATATTTGCTATAACTAGTCAAGGATTAGTTGGGTGGCAGCACACAGACAACTGATAAGGAAATAATTCCCACACTAGGGCCCAGTTACTTTCTATTTTTGTTACTATTTCTTACAGAAGTTCAATGGATATAAAGCAGTCACTACAACAGGAAGGTCAGAAGAGTCCAGAAACTGCCTGAGCCAGTAAATACTTGATTTTTTTTTTACCAGTCCTTTGCTAAGGTGAAAGATGTGGCATCCATGGGGAGCACAAATATATAGTACAATCTTATTTACGAGAGATTATGGAGAAAGATGGCAGATTATACTTTGCATTGAGTAAAGACTTAACAAATGTTTGCCAAATGACTTCCTAAGGTTTCTATAATTCTAGGTTCTATGATTTTCAAAATGGTGAGACACATCTCAAACTCAACATATTCAAAACAGAACTATCTTTCCCCTCAAAAAAACCCTCTCCTCTATGTCAAAGGCACCATTATTTTTCTAATTTCACAGGTTTATAACCAGAACATTATCCTAGATTTTTAACTGTCCTTTAAACCACATATCTAATCAATTCCCAAAACTTGCCATTTCTATCAATGCAACATTTCTCACATCCAACCCTTCTCTCTATCCCACACAGCTAACACCCTATACCTTGAAGCCCTTATCACTTCTTGCCTGATCTATTGCAATGGGCTCTTAATTGGTCTCTCTTCCTCAAATTTTCCCCATTCCAATTTATCCTCTATATAGCTGCCAAAGACTAAGATTAGGATTTGACTATGTCATCTCCCAACTTCCCTACTTGAATTCCAGTAGCTTCCTATTTCCCTTGAGGTAAAAAATAATCTCCTCTGTTTGACTTTTTAAAATCCTGCACAATGTGGCCTACCTGTCTAGCTACACTATATATTGCTCACCTTCCCACATCCCACAGTCCAGTCAAACTGAACTTCTCTTTGTTCCTTACACATGACACTTCTGTCTTCTTACCTTTGCACTGGTCATCCCCCATGCCTGGAACATATTCTCTCTTCATTTCCACCTTATAGAATCTCCAACTTCCTTCATGATGCAACACTACCTTCTCTACCAGTGGTCTGCAGACTCCCTTGATTGCCCACCCCAGCAGTAAAAAAATTATTTATAATGTATATGTATATACTACTGAACTAATTATTACATTCATTAAAAACTTATAAAAATAGAAATTCTTAAAAGATGAGAAAAAGATGAAATGATATTTGATCCTAAAGTCAAGAGGAAGTCACTCTAGTTTATTGAATAGAGAAACATGGTTGGATCTTCACTTTAGGAATATTACTTTGGCAGTTCTGTGGAGGATAGAGTGGGGAGAAACTTGAGGTAGGGAGACTAATTAGGAAGCTATTGAAATAGCCCTGGTAAGAGGTGGTGAGGTCCTGAACCACAGTGGTGGCTGTGTGAGTAGAGAAAAGACACAAGAGATGTTGTAGAGGTAGGAATGACAAGATTTAGCAACTGATGTGGCGTGAGGAAGAGTGTGGAGCTAAGGAGCAAACCAAGGTCTCTAAATCTGGATGACTGAATAGATGGTTGTATTCTTAACATAAATAAGAAAGTTGAAAGAAGAATGGTTTGGGGAGGGGAGTGGAGATAATGTAATGAGATTGGCTAGGGAGATCACAACTCATCCATGTCTGCTCATCCTGTGCAACTCACTATGTCTCATCAACAACAAAAATGGTAGAAGGAGGGATTTTTGTCACTGGCTGTATCCTGCTCTTGTCTCAAACCCTATTATGCTACATTCTTGCCAAGATAAATCCCCAGTGCCACTTAATATCTCCTAGCATCATTTAACCAGTTGATATTCCCCCATAACCAATTAACATCAATTAACTTTTACTGAGAAGTAAAAGTAAGACTCAAAGATAAAATCAAATATAGTAAGTCCACTGGTATATCAAATATAGTAAGACCACCTCAGTCCCTGGGGAGAATCAGCTCAATGGCATTCATTCCACCTACTTCACTTCCAAAGGTAGATTAGCTGATAAACAAAATCACTCTGTTGCTTCAGGACATGACCTCTTGGCTACCATATTGATCCAGTGCTGGGCCATAATCCAGTAGGTTGCTTTTGGGGCTTCACTAGAAGATTTTGATATGGTTTTCAGTTCCTACACCTCTGGTTGTTCTTCCAATCTTCCTCCAACACTCATTCACTTAAGGTCAAGAAATAATTCAACACAACAGGCAGCCTCACCATGCAGTCATGCCTTCATGTTTACCTAGGCAGGGTGAGTAAACCCCTGGTACTATCACCCAGCCCAACCATAGGCTTGCCACAATCCTGGAGCCTTTGTATTCAGACTTCAGGTTCCACAGAAAATTGGAAGGCTTTTCATCATCATATAATATGTGAACAGGCAACAGTCACAGAAGCCATACACATGCTCTAGAAGACAGAGCTTTCCGTTGTGCACATCTGAAAGCAAACTATACTTCTATTGCCCACACTCCCGCGTCTGGACCCTCATTTCTCATTGGGTAAGTCCTCTGCTACATACAGGTGAAGGAACTGAGTTTTAGAGAAATGAAATGACAACCATAGTCACACAGTTAAGCATATTCTTCTGCTAAGTGTAGATAGCTTCCCTGAATGAGTGAGGGATCCACAGTTTCATCCCTATTATCAACAAAAGTCAAAATAAATTTCAAAGAGAATAGTAAACTTCCCCCCTCTATGTTGCTGATTATTTAGAGGGCATTGGCATTATAGTATCTATCTGTCTTTCAAAGAATGTAATTTTTGGTTTGGATCTGTGATTTCATTGGCATAGGAAAATCCTGGTGAAGATACTTTTTCAAAAAAATGCATAATGGCAACTTCTCTGCAATTAAGAGTCTTAGAGAGTTGAGTAGGTCCCTCAGAGGTTCTGTGAGTTGCCCAAAGTCAAATGGCCAGGATGTGTTAAAGACAGAAGCTGAGCCTAGGTTTTCATGACTACCAGGCCAGCTCTCTATCCACCATGCCACAGTCTTTCCAAGAATATAATATTACTTTTAACGCCCATATCAATAATTTTGTACAGGCAATTTTCTTTCCTTTATCCCTACTTCAGAAACATTAGGATCATGGCTCCTCTTGTTTTAGATAAATAATCATGTTTATTGTTCTCCAAGCAAGCTTGGATACTGTCTTGAATCCACAGAGAGGAGACAGGTAGAAATGGCAATCTTGGTTGGAGGAGACTATTTTGCAGAAACAGGACCATGGTTTTTAAGCTAGGCTGTAGGAGGGCTGGTTCTGACCCCTGATTGAAAGAAGAAATCCTGTCTCCTGAAATCAGGGCAATCCTGAGTGATCTCACCCCTCCCCCATCCCTGCTGTTTCTTTGGGGATTAGCGGATTGGAGTGGAGGATTAAGAGGTTTTCGTCATCACCGAGCTTGGCTCACTAACCCCTGCTATTTCCCCTTTCCTACCCTACACACTAACTCTTTGCTTGGCTAGTGCCAGATGAAGACAGGAGAATCTTTACTCTCTCTAAACCATCCTAACCTGTGATTGACTGCTATGAGCTTTGCTGTTTGGGTCACATCTGAGAAGCTCTGAGTCCTTTAGAACCTGCCGGGTGGAGAAGGTGGAATTTGTACACTTAGCATACAAGAGCAGAAAGCGGATAATAGAATGCGGACCTAGATGGGCCCCACAGCTCTCCACTCCTGTCACCCCAACAGGGACACCATGCCTGGGATTCTGAGTTTTTATGCAGACAATGTTTCATCCAGAATTCACTCCCCTCCAAAGCTGGTCACCTGGACCTTCTTGCAGAAGAGGGTGTTTTTTCTTTATTTGCTCATCAGCCTTTTTCTGCCTTTCACCCAGAGCCAAAAGAAGATACCTCTGGAAACGTAAGTGTTCATTTCCCCATCTACAAGTCTTTTTTTCTCTATGTAATCCCAGTTTCAGGATTTATAATTTGTATAAGCTTGGGACAAGCCACTTCTGTTTTTACAGATTCATAGAATCTTAGAGTCAGGAAGGATCTGAGAGTTCCCCTAGTCTATACTTCCTATTCAATGCACAACCTTCTAAATCAATTCTGTCCATATTATCTCAATTCTCTTACATTCTTTCTATTTCTTTGCCTGTGAAATGAGAATTTGTATTAGATGATTTCTAAAAATCCCTGAGATCTATTCCTCTGTCCCCCAAGTCATCTTTGCTCCTCTTCCCCAAACTGTTTTAAAGCTCCCCACCCCATGTTCTATCCTCCCCTTTTCTTCAAAATTTCATCAGTTTTGGGAGTCACAGCTGTAAACATTTGGAATCCTACTCAACAAATGGTATTAGGCATAACTAATCCCCAGGACTAATAGTCCATATTACTATGATACACATCTATCTCATCCTAAGCTCATTTAGAGTGATGTTCAGGAGTAATGGCATCCTTATTAGATAATGAAGGGGAGGGCGTATTGCAACTACAATTACCTGGAGATAGAGGACAGAACCTGAGATTTTACTAGCATAGGGAATCCCTACATGATGAAACCCCTTCTACCTATGTAGGTTGGCCCCTCTTCTGCAATTTATAGTTGTAGATTGTAGAACATGGAGCCAACCAGTAAGAGTCAGAAGTGGGTACTGAGTCTAGGTCTTCCTGTGGCTAACTCTATCACTCAGTGCTGCCTATCTATTTAATATCTATAATCACAGAGCACCTTAAATTATTGGTTAGGCTTGGTTATGGTTAACAGTCCAAAATAAAGTTCTTCTCCTCTCTCTTTTGTCCTTCATGGTATAGAGGTGAGCCTGGATTCTTAAAGTCTACACCAGTTTGTTCTATCTGATGTCCCTCCCCCAGTTTTCCCTTCAGGTAGCAGTACCCTTGCGCTCTCTCACTTCTTCACAAAATCTGCTCTCAGGCAAGGATATAATCAATTATTTTCATTTGAATGAGAATCTCAGGAGTATTTGTATTTAACCTCAGTTGTCCTTTGTTAAGGGAGTGGTAAACCCAATTTGATAGTCAGCCTCTCATGCTTAACTAGAATTCCATCCTTGCACATCAAGCATGACATACATGTCCGGCCCAGTATTTTTAAAGTTCATACTATTATCCTTTGATTACGAACCAGCATGAGTTGGCTGTAGTTCTGGAGAATAGACTAGTTAGTGTTTTGTTGATGCGCAGCTTTTTAAGTCCTACTTCCCAATGACTTTCCCACCCCTCCCCCCTAGCCCAATAGAACCTACCCTACCATCAAAGAAACAAATAAATGCATTGGGCCTGCGACTAAAGGAATTCTTGAGATTTCTTTTAGTCCAAGGCTTCACCTCCTCCCAAAAGTCTTTGGTTGGGTCACTGACCTCCTTTCCTGTGTTCTCCAAAGCTTGCATCATTGCTCTGAATTCAAAGCCTCTTATTGGATATGCTTCAGTGAACATTCTTGCTCAGGTGTGAGTTGTACTATGCTCTCTGAAGTCCCTTCTAGCCCTGAGATTTTGTGACTCTATGACCTGTTCTCTCTAGGTCATGGTTTCATCATCTGTAGAATGAATGCTGAACTAGATTATCTCTGAGGTTCCTTTCAGCTCTAACATTCTACGATTCTACACTGTCCTCTTATTATCCCCATTTCCCTCCTTTTCTCCTTCCCCAGGCCTCCATTCTCATCTCTGAATCCAAAGCCAAACAGAAGAATCACAGTATAATGGAAAGACTGGAATTTTGGCTTGGACACTTTCTAGGTGTATAACTCTGGGCAAGTCACTTAACATCTCAATGTCTGATATAGCCCTCTAAGACTATAAGTTAAAAAAAAAAGTTGGCAATCTCCGAATCACCATCATTGATAGAGTTTCCATATTAGGAATACTCTACTATAGTTGTTGTTGTTCAGTGGTTTCCAATTCTTCGTGACCCCATCTGGCGCTTTCTTGGCAAAGATACTGAATTGGTTTGTTATATCCTTCTCCCGCTCATTTTATAGATGAGGAACTGAGACAAACAGAGTTAAGTGACTCACCCAAGGTCACATAGCTAGAAAATGTCTGAGGCCAGATTTGAGTTCAGGTGTTCCTGATTCGAGGCCCAGTGTTCTATCCACTGTGCCACCTAGCTGCAACAGGAATATTCCACACTGGTATAATCGCAGATTTGATTAAAAAAAAAAAATACTATTTACCTCATAGCATTACCGTGGGGAAGTAAACCTCAAAGCAAAATGAAATGTGAGATATTATTATTATTATTATCATTATCCCCATCAAATAGATGCCACTTGTGTTGTACCTGAATGTTGTAATAGATTGTAACACTTACACCTTGGATATCATTCCCCTCCTGCTTTATATGGGTCTTGTCTGCAGACTATGGCTGAAGTTTTAGTCCCCTTTCCTTGACATGGGCCATTTTTTCAGGGGTGGTAAAGCATATTTATGTGAATGTGAGTATGTCCCTCTTTCCTGGTAGTGTGAAGCTCTGGGCAGATGCATTTGGTGGAGACCTCTATGCCTTGGTGACAAAATACTCTGGATCTCTCCTGCTAAAGAAGGTAACACCGCCCCACACCAATTCATAAGAGAGGGTATGGGGGTATTTGGCGAAGTGGGCTAGAAAGTAAATATGTAAAAAGGGTGAGTGAAAGTTCTTAGGATGAGAAGGCTTGAACCTTCAAGAACATGCTTGAGCCTTTGCCTAGATTTCCCAAATAGCAATCATATGGGACATGAAGGGATGTGGGGTAGCTGGTCAGAGCTACAAAGGCCACAGTGAAATAGAAGCACATGACAGCTAGATGTGTACTGGGCTTAGAGTCAAAAAGATCTGAGTTCAAATCTGGCCTCAACTCATGATGGAAAATGCCAACCACCTCCAGTTCTCAGAGAGAATTGATTAATTCTGAATGCAAAAACCAAAAGCTAGCATTATTTTCAACAGAGAAATCCTAGAAGAAGATTTCTTAACCTGGGGTCTGTGAACTTGTTTGTTTGTTTTTAAAGTATTTTGACAATTGTATTTCAGTATGATTGGTTTCCTTTGTTATCTTATTCTGAGAAAGGATCCCTAAGTTTTACCAGACTACCAAAGTGGTCATGACACAAAAAAGCAAAGGACTCTTGCATTAAAATTTTCTCAATAAAGAAAGGAATAAAGTAAGGATGCCCTCCTTTCTTGTTATTATCTTACATAATTATAGAAATAGCAACAAGAAAAAAGAAACTAAAGGTATAAATGTAGGCAAAAAAAGGAAAAATGCTAATATGATGGTTTACAGAAAACCTTAGCAAGTCAGCAAAGAAACTATGAAAAACCATTAGTAGCTTCAGTTTTACAAAGTCTTTTACAAAAAGATTACAAAATAAATCCCCCAAAATCAATAGTATTTCTATAAAGCAACCAAAGAGAAAATAATAGAAAGAGAAGTATTCAAAATAACTACAAATGCAGAAAATATCTGGAAGTCCTTCTACCAAGGAACTTATTTAGAGACAGTTAAAAAGAAAACAATTTAAATAATTGAATAGTTGGTGTTCATGGTTGGGACTAGCCAGTATTATATAAAAAATTATAATGTTACCTAAATTAATTTCCAGATTTAGTGCCATGCTAAGCTAAAGTCCACTCCAGGTCCAAATCATGAAACTCTAGGACACCGTAGCATTCTAAAGTGCCTTCTGAAATCATTAGAGAAAAATTGAATTATGTTTATTGAGCTTTTATTATTACATATGATGTACAATGTAGAGGGACAGATAGCATAGTATAGTGAATAGAGAGCTGATCACAGAGCCAGGAAAATCTAGGTTCAAACAGGTTTCTGACATATCCTGGCTGTGTAATCTTGGGCAATTAATTACTTAACCCAGTGCTCTAGGCAACTCTCTAAGACTATAAGTTACAAAAAAGGGGGTGATCTACCTCATAGAGAGAGGTTTCTCATTAAGGACTTCCCTATACCAGTGAAATCATGGGTCCAATCCCTGCCCCTGTAATGCAGGGTATTGTGAGAGAGCTTAAAAGATGAGAAGATAATCTTCACCCTCTAGGAGCTTATAACATCATTAAGAGATAAGACTTTTTCATACATAAAATAATTAAAGAATGCTACACAAGGCAGTATTAAATGTTCTGGGCACTAGGGATATTTGTCTCCAGAAGAATCTGCAATTCCATATTCCTAGCACATCAACTCCCTCCATCTGGGCAGTAGATAAATCCTAGAGCACTTCCTGAGGCACAGAGAGGTGAATTGAGTTGCCTAGAGCCACACTGCTAATAAATGAACACAAATCTTCCTGACTCCAAGCTTCTCTAGAATGCCACCTCAAAGAACTAAAGATACAAAGATAAAAAAATGTCCTTGAGGTACATTTAGTCTAATGGGGCCTAATCAATCCAAGCTGAACACAAATGAGTATGATACAAGATAGAATTTGATAAGGGCAAAAGAGAGTTTCTGACAAAGTGCTTTCAAAACTCTGAGACAGGAGAAATAATTTTCGCTTTCTTTTTAAATTCTGGTTCAATCTTTTTAAACATATTTTTTTGTGTTTGAAGTCATAATTGCAATTGAACATAGCCTTAGGAAATGGAGTGATTAAATGCAGAGACAGGCAGGATTCATTAATCTCTGAGGTCTCTTACAGCTCGAAATTTATGATTCTATAATCATTATGTTAAATTCACCTCTGTTCTCAGCTTTCCTGAGGAACTGTTCAAAGGATCAGACCAGAAAAATAGCCCAAACAATTTGGTCATGGCGGACGTGATGTGTGATTTAGGCCTGAAAGGAAGAGACGTGAGAGGAAAGCCTCTTCGAAGTATAAGAGATAGCACTTATATAATTAAGTGCTAAATTTAGGGCTTTGTACTAATGGAGTCTGAGAAATAATTAGGGAGCACATCTAAATCTTAGTCACCAAGGTGGGTGCTCCCAGTTGGATCCTAGACAGCCCCAATTAGGGCAGTCTTCCAACAAAACATAGAATGGTGATGGCTGGGAATAAGCATTTATATATTGCTTGCTATTGTTCCAGGCACTTTGCTAAGTTGTTTTTTGTTTTTTTTTTATAAACCTGCAAACAACCCTGCAAAGTTAGTGCTATTTAACCCCATTTTACGGTCGAGGAAACCAAGGCAAACAATTATTAAGTGACTTGCCCAGGATCCCACAAATAGTAAATGTCTGGATTTGAACTCAAGTTTTCCCGACTTTGGGCCCAACACTCTATCCACTGTGCCACCATCTGCCATAAGAATTCTTGTATCCCAACCATCTTCTTGACTTTCCTCTGGATAGAAGTACAAGGATGTAGAGTCCAGTCTGAAGATTAAGGAAGTGGATGGCTTGGAGCTTGTGAAGAAATTCTCTGAAGAGATGGAAAGCATGCTACGAAGGAAAGTGGAGGCTGTGAAGGTAATGCTTAATAAAATCTGGGTGGAAATCTCTGTTGTCTCCTCTGCCGTCAGCCCCCACCCTCCTCCTCCTCCTCTTGGCCCTTACATGGAACTAATGTTACTGTCTCACATAGAGGACGGGACCTACTTGCATTGCCTTAGTCTTCCCTAGCTTTTTTTTTCTCTCTGCTCTTCTCACAGCCCCGAAAGAGTTACTTAAGGATATGGAAGACAAGGTGACAGCTTCAGGTGCTGTAGGGTTACCCTGGAGTGCCAGCAAGGCTTCCAATGGCATAAGCTCACATTCAGTGCCTATAATGTGCAATAGATGCTGATTGGATAGATGAATGAGTGAATGCAAAGTAACCAAAAATTTGTAAAAAGCTCTCTCTCACCAAAAACTCTTTCCTTTCATAAACTCCCAAGTGTTTGTAGACAGTGGCGGAGGGGAAAAGGTGGCAGAACGCAAGAGCCGTGTTTATGACTTTGTGTTCAAACCAAATCAGTCAAGACACACACAAGAGCTGTAATTTCCCCTGGGCCTCAGAGCATCCAAATGCGCAGTATTCATTTAAGTGTCTCTCTGTGGCCCTGTGCTAGATATTGTACAAACTGAATTACGGGGACATAGCCTCCACCCTCAGGGTGGAGTAAGACAGCGTAAGACAAATAGTACTGACATGGGTAGACAACATACAGACAATAGTGAAATACAGAAGAAACATGGATAACCAATAGGGCATGACTTGGGCCCAACATGGAGGCATTCGGAGAATACGACCTGACAGATAGGCCGAGATATGCTTGGTACATAGTTCTGCACCAAGATCAATGGTGAGATCAATGGAGGAGCAAGCAAATTGTTCTCCCCAGTGTTTTATAATAAGGTCAGCCTCAGGCAAAATCATAAAGCAAACAAAATTTGAAATTCTCTTCTCTGTTTGAGCTCCTACTCCAGTCCTGCTTTCAAAATCTCTCCCAAAGATGTATAATCAGTCACTTACACATTAACCTGAAGTGGAGTCATTGTGTTACTTCTCATAGAGAGGCATTCTGGTATACTGGACAACAAGCTGAAACTGGCAGTAGGCCAGGTTTCAAATCCCGCCTCTGACACTGTTGTGGGAAGTATGTTACTCTGAGTCGGTCACTTAAATGGGGATAATAATAGTACTTACCTCCTAGGATTGTGGTAAAGATAAAACAGATGAAATTTGTAAAGTGCTTTGCAAACCTTAGAGCACTATAAATGCTCTCTATTGTTATTATTAATATTACTAAAATTCTCTAAGTCTTAGGTAATTCTATAAGGCTATTTTGGTGGAGGGAGTTCCCATAAGGATGAAGTCATGGTCCTTGAGATACTAATGTTACTAATCTCAAAGCCATACTTCTAATAGTGAAATGAAGTTTCAATTAGAGGAATTTCAGGAATTAACCAGCAGGTAAGGAAAATGCTTTTATCCAACTGTCAAATCCCTGCATTCATGGGCTATTAGGTAGTATACAGGGGTTCACTCAATATTGTCTCTTTCTCTTAATTCCAAAAGTGAGGGGGCATGGAAATATCCCCCTAGGTTACTAGATAAATGATTAATTACCTCTTGAAATGTTCCAAGCATAACTCCTTATTCCCAATTGACTTTCTCTAAAGTCTGGGCTGTTCTTTCTGAGCCATGGTGTTCCAACAAAAATACGCCATATTTGTCTTTATCTTTCATTTTATTTAATTTTTCAATTACCAAACATTTCCTTCCTCCCTCCACCTCCCTCCTCCTTAAGAAGAGGAAGAAGATCAAAACACTTGCATAAAAAAAATACGTAGTTAAGCCAAACAAATCCCTACATTGGCCATGTCCAAACACATCAGTTTCATTCTGCATTCATCATCTCTGTGTTAGGAAGTGGGTACCATTATCATCAGTCCTCCATGGCTGGTCATTATATTGATGCAAGACTTTCCAGGTTTCTCTGAAACTATTCCTTTTGTCATTTCCTAAAGCAATGTATTCTTATATGATAATTTTAAAATTACTAGCATTTATATAGTGCTTTAAGGTTTACAAAGCCCTTTACATGTGTTATTTCATTTGATCTTCACAACAACCGTATAAGGCAAGTGTTATTATCTCCATTTTACAGATGGAGGAAACTGAAGCTGATAAAGGTTAGGTGACTTAGTCTCACAACTAGTAAGTGTCTAAGGTGAAATTTTTAACTCGTCTTCCTAACTCCTAGCACTCTCTCTATTGAGCCAACAAACTGCCAATTTCCATTTCCCAGGTAATAGGCACCTCCTTGGTTTCTAGTTCATTGCCATCACAGAAAGAGTTACTATAAATATTTTTGTACAAATGGGTCCTTTGACTATTTCTTTGATCTCTTTGAAGTATAGGCTTAGTAGTGGTATTGCTGAGTCAAAGGGTATATACAGTTCAGTAATTTGGGAGGAAATTGCTTTTCAGAATGGCCAAAGCAATTCACAACTCCACCAATAAATGGTGCATTAATGGGCATATTTTCCCATAGGCCCTCCCACAATTGTCATTTTCCCTTTCAGTCATCTTTGCCCATTTGACAGATGTAAAGCAGAACCTCAAAGTTACTTTAATTTGCATTTCTCTAATTAATGGTGATTTGGAGTTTTTTTGATATGACTGTGGATAGCTTGGGTATCTTCCTTTGAGAATTGGCCATTTATATTCTTTAACCATTTGCCACTTGGGGAACGGATCTTATTCTAACAAACTTAAAACAATTCCTTAGATAGCTTGGAAATAACACTTTTATCAATGAAATTTGCTGCAAAGATTTTTTTCCCGATGTTTCCCCTCTAATTTTAACTTCATTGATTTTGTTTCTGCAAAAAATTTTTTCAGTTTTATGTAATCAAAATTGCTCATTTTATCTCATGTGCTTCTCTCCTTCTCTTATTTGATCATGATCTCTTCCACTATTTCTAGATCTGAAAGGTAATTTCTACCTTGTTCCTATAATTTGCTTATGATGTGACTTAAATACCCAAATCATGCCTCCATTTGGAGATAGGTCCACTTCCTTCTGACTTTTTTTCCACTTTTTCCATTGAGATTCCTAACGTTTTGTTCCTCCTCTTTTTCTTTTCTCATTGATATAGTAACTAGCATTTCTAGCATTATGCAGAATAATAAGTAATAATATACATTCTTGCTTTACCTTGATCTAATATTTATTGGAAAGACCATATAATGCTGGTTCCCAATTTTAAAAAGATGTTATGTGTCAGTGGAAAGATCCATTTATTCCTATGATTTCTATTTTTTAAAAAACAGGAATCAATTTCCTGGTTTATCAAAAGCTTTTTCAGCATCTATTGATAAAATCATATGATTTTTGTTATTCTTGTTATTAAAAGGGTATATTATGTTGATACCGTTCCTAATATAGAACTAACCCTGTAATCCTGGCAAAAATACAAACTAATTACTATATAATCTTTGTGATTTGTTGCTATAGTTTCTTTTGCTAATATTTTATTTTAAATGTTTGCATCAATATTCATTAAGGATATTGTGCTGTAGTTTTCTATCTCTGTTTAACTTTCCGTGGTTTAGGTATCAAGGTCATACTTATATCATATAAGAAATTTGGTAGAACTCCTTGTTTTCCTATTTTTTCAAACAATTTGTATAATATTGGAATTATTATTTCAGTGTTTGATAGAATTCACCCGTAAATCCATCTGGTCCAAGGGATTTTTGCAAAGGGAGATCATTTATGGCATGTTCAATTTCTTTTTCTAAGACTGGATTTTTAAATTATCTATTTCTTTTTCTGTTCATCTGAGCATTTTATATTTTTGTAAATATTCATCCATTTTAGTTAAGTTGTAGGCATGTTATTGGAGAAAATAGCTTCTAATCATCTCATTTTTTCTTTTGTTTAAAATTCACCTTTTTCATTTTTGATATTGGTGATTTGATTTTCTTCTTTCCTTTTGTAAATCAAATTAGCTAATAGTTTCTCTCTGTTGTTATTTGTTGCTGTTGTTTTTTAACTACTCCTGGTGTACTAATTCAAAGGGGTTTTGTTTTTAATTTTGTTAATTTCTTCCTCAATTTTCAGGATTTTTATTTTGGTATTTAATTGAGATTTTTAAAATTGTTGATTTTCCTGATTTTTTTTAGTTGCATGCCCAATTATTGATTTGTTCTTTTTCTCTTTTGTTGACAAAAGTATCTAGAGATATAAATTTCCCCCCTAATAACAGCTTTGACTACATCCCCCAAATTTTGGTATATTGTCTCATTATTGTTATTCTCTTTAATGAAATTATCTATTGTTTCTATGATTTGTTCTTTGATCTATCAATTCTTTAGGATGAAGTTATTCAGTCAGCAATTAATTTTTTTTATTTCTTTGTTCGTTTTTTAAGCATTTCTTGTCTCTTCCTCCTCCCCTCCGCCCAACAAACTGAACAATTATAAAGAAAAAGAAAATCCCCATATGTCCAAAGGTAGCTAGGTAGCTCAGAGGATAGAGCACTGGGCCTAGAATCAAGAAGACCTAAGTTCAAGTTTAGCTTCAGACATTTACTATCAGTATGCCCTGGGCAAGTCACTTAACCTCTATTTTCCTCAGTTTATTTAATTATAAAATGGGGATGATAACAGCATCTACCTCCCAGGGTTCGTGTGAGGATAGAATGAGATAATATTTGTAGAGTGTTTGGCACATAGTAAGCATTAAATAGATGTTTATTTCCTTCCTTTCCTTCATCATCCATTGCTGCTAGTTCTGCCTTCTGAATCCAAGCAGAATAAAGCAAATCACTCATTTATAGCAGTCCTTCAAATACTTGAAGACAGCTATCATATCCCCATTAAGTTTACAGGTTAAGCCAACCCTTGAGGTCCTTTATAAATATCCTGGTCCCCTTCCTCTGAACAATGTCCAGCATATCAACATTCTTTTTTAAAACTTTTTTTTAAGGCAATTGGGGTTAAGTGACTTGCCCAGGGTCACACAGCTGGTAAGTACCTGAGGCCAGATTTGGACTCAGGTCCTCCTGACTCCAGGGCTGGTGCTCTATCCACTGCACCACCTAGCTGCCCCATATCAACATCCTTTTTGACTAGTCTACCTGCATGACCAGGTCAGAGGACAATGGGATTATAACTGATTATGTAAGAGTCTGTCTAAATGCCAGGTCTTTATCACCCATGTCTTTGTGTGCCATAGAGACTCGTCGAAGCAGCTGAGGAGGCTGACCTCAACCATGAATACAATGCTTCCCTGGTGGTAAGTCCCCCCGTTTCCAATGCCATTTCTGTAAGAGGCAGATTGAGAGTGTCTGGAGAGCTGCAGGACAGGAACTCCAAACCCTATGTGTTGCTGTGGCCTCACTATCCCCTCTGTGTCCAAAGCTCTGCCGGAGGTGTGGCTAGTGTGACCTTAGGCATCTGCCACGTGTCTGGGCAGCAGGTATAGACATAGAGTGATTTCTAAATATATTTTTGGCAGGGTTTTTCTCTATGAGGTTTTTCCTGAACCCACATTAGCTCCGTTTAAATAATTTTAAAATGTATACCTCCACGTACTTTGACTCTAGGTTAAGAAGATAACTGAGGGATAGGGGGACAAATAGTAGGAATGCCAGGGCTAATTGCTGGGGAGAAAGTCTCAGAAACATCTAAGCTTAACCCTGACTGAGGCTGTAGCCTTCTTACTGGGAGCACTTTGAGTTCCCTCTGATGAGAGTGGCTAGCGCAGGAGTGGGGAACCTGCGGCCTCAAGGCCACACGTGGCCCTCTAGGTCCTCAAGTGCAGCCTGAATTCAGTCAAAAGGCCTCACTTGAGGACCCCGAAGGCCACGTGCGGCTTTGAGGCCGCAGGTTCCCCACCCCTGGTCTAGTGGGGAGAGGTAGGGGAATAAGAAGGTAAAAGGACTGGTGTCTGTGTCACCAGAGAGTTTTCATTAGTGAAGGGTTTATGACCATTGTCCTATCTGAGGCAGAGAGTGCAGGTCATTCCCAAATAGGGTAAGGACTATTTCTTAAAAAGTGAAAAGCAATACCTCTTGTGAACCATGTCACTTGAGGAGAAACTGGCAGTACTGATGTACTCTTTATCTTTGTCTGTTTATCTCTCTATGAAAATGTGTCTGACTCTGTCTCTGTCTCTATCTCTGTCTCTGGCTATGTCTACATATATTAAGCAAAGTGGAAAATTGAGATCATCTAGGTGATCCAAGCCAAAACCCTTTCCTACTTGCTCATCTTCCTTTCTGTGCCTACCCCTCCTTCAAATAATTGCATTTGTTACAATCCTGAGTATTTTAAAATAAATAAAAAATGAAATAAATATAAATATGACATAAACAAAATTTGGCCATTAATCATCTGGCCTGAATTGTCCACTTCATTTTGTATATGTGGACATAGCCTCAGTTTGTCTGTCCATCTTTTCATCTTTGAATCCTCTGATCTAGGTCATTTCCCTCCCTTTCTCTCTTTCACACTGTGCATTTCCATCTATGTATGGTCCATCTCTGTCTCTCTCATTTCCCTATTCTCTAGTTTAACTATTACAACTCAGTCCTCATCAATGAAAAAGACGAGAATGGAGATTATGTGGAACTTGGGGATGAATTTATTCTGGATCTCAATGAACACTTCAACAACCTGTGGGTGAATACATCCATCAGTAATGTGCAGCTGCCCACCAATGTCTACAACAAAGGTAGCCTGAATTAATTAATTAATTAATGAGTAATTGCCTGAATTAATTGATGCAAAGTTTGCAAATTTTTGTGAAAAATCTCTCTTCTCCAGTTCTCTTCACTAAAATTCCTCTCATGAAACTAAGCTATTTTTGCTATTTTTTAACAGATGGGTCCTCTTAATAGTAAGTCACCAGAAATTATAGAAATGTTATTCTTAAGGAGTCTGAGCTTATTGTTTGATATAAATTATACAGTGAAATGGAAGAAACTGCAACACATCACTGCTAGTTGTAAGAATTTAGCATCTACCAGATACCTGGAAAGACATGCTCAGGTGTCTACAATTAGACACTAGAAGCTGTCTATTCTTCATAAACTAATAGATAATGAAGCCCTATACTGCAAATACAAACCCCAAAATATACTGCTACTGGAGCATCATTATAGACAGAGCTGCTGCCTACTCAGACATAACATTGAGCTATAAAAATAGAGAACATTTTAAAAAATTAATTATTTATTTTTAGTTTTCAACATTCCCTTCCACAAGATTTGAGTTCCAAATTTTCTCCCTATCTCTCCCCTCCCCCCACTCCAAGACAGCATGCATCCTAAATACTCCTTTCCCCAATCTGCCCTCCCTTCTATCACCCCACCCCCTTCTCTTATCCCCTTCCTCTCCTATTTTCCTGTAGGGCAGGATAGATTTCTATACTCCTTTGCCTGTATATCTTATTTCCCAGTTGCATGTAAAAATAGTTTTCAATATTCATTTTTAAAGCTTTGAGTTTCAAACTCTCTCCCTTCCTCCCTTCCCACCCACCCACCCTCATTGAGAAGGCAAGCAATTTGAAATAGCTTATACATGTGTAGTCATGCAAAACACTTCCACAATAGTCAGGTTGTGAAAGATTAACTATATTTCCCTCCATCCTATCCCACGCCCCATTTTTTTCTATTCTCTCCTTTGACGCTGTCCCTCATCAAGAGTGTTTACTTCTGATTACCTCCTCCCCCAATTTGCCCTCACTTTTATCATCCCCCATCTCTTATCCCCTTCCCCCCTATTTTTCCTGTAGGGTAAGATAGATTTCCATACCCAATTGAGTGTGTATGTTATTCCCTCCTTAAGCCAAATCCAATGAGAGTAAGATTCACTCATTCCCTCTCACCTCCTCCCTCTTCCCCTTCATTGTAAAAAGCTTTTTTTAACATCTTTTATGTGAGATAATTTAACCCATTCTATCTCTCTCTTTCTCCTTCTCCCAGTACAATCTTCTTTTGCTCCTTGATTTTATTTTTTAGATATCATCCCTTCATAGTCAACTCACCCTGTGCCCTCTATCTATCTATACATATATATGTATATATATATATATATATATGTTCCCTCCCACCACCCTAATACTGAGAAAGGTTTCATGAATTACAAATATCATCTTTCCATGCAGGAATGTAAACAGTTCAATTTTAATAAGTCCCTTATGATTTCTCTTTCCTGTTTACCTTTCCATGCTTCTCTTTGGTCTTGTATTTGAAAGTCAAATTTTCTATTCAGCTCTGGTCTTTTCATCAAGAATGCTTGAAAGTCCTCTATTTCATTGAATCTCCATTTTTCCCCTTAAGGATTACACTCAGTTTTGCTGGGTAGGTGATTCTTGGTTTTAATACTAGCTCCTTTGACCTCTAGAATATTAAATTCCAAGTCCTCCAATCCCTTAATGTAGAAGCTGCTAAATCTTGGATTATGCTGATTGTGTTTCCACAATACTTGAATTGTTTCTTTCTGTCTGCTTGCAGTATTTTCTCCTTGACCTGGGAACTCTGGAATTTGGCTACAATATTCCTAGGAATTTTCCTTTGGGGATATCTTTCAGGAGGTGAATAATGGATTCTTTCCATTTCTATTTTACCTCTGGTTGTAGAATATCAGGGCAGTTTTTCCTTGATAATTTCCTGAAAGATGATGTCTAGGCTCTTTTTTTGATCATGGCTTTCAGATAGTCTAGTAATTTTTAAATTGTCTCTCCTGGATCTATTTTCCAGGTCACTTGTTTTTCCAATAAGATATTTCACATTGTCTTCTATTTTTTCATTCTTTTGGTTTTGTTTTTTAGTTTCTTGATTTCTCATAAAGTCATTAGCTTCCATTTGCTCCATTCTAATTTTTAAGGAAGTATTTTCTTCAGTGAGCTTTTGGACTTCCTTTTCCATCTGGCTAATTCTGCTTTTTAGGGCATTCTTCTCCTCGTCGGTTTTTTGGACCTCTTTTTCCATTTGGGTTAGGCTATTTTTTAAGGTGTTATTTTTTTCAGTGTTTTTTTGGGGTCTCCTTTAGCAAACTGTTGACTTGTTTTTCATTATTTTCTTGCATCACTCTTATTTCTCCTCCCAATTTTTCCTCTATTTCTGTTACTTGCTTTTCAAAATCCTTTTTGAGCTTTTCTGTGGTCTGAGACCAATTAATATTTTTCATAGAGGCCTTGGATTTAAGAGCTTTGACTTTGTTGTCTTCCTCTGGTTATATATATATATATATATATATATATTTGATCTTCTTTGTCACCAAAGTAAGATTCTATAGTCTGAGTTTTTGTGCTGTTTGCTCATGTTCACAGCCAATTACTTGACTTTTTAACTCTTTATTAAAGTAAGGTTCTGCTTCCAGTGTGGAGGGTATACTGTCCCAACCTTCACAGGTTTTGTGCAGCTGTTTTCAGAGATACTTCTAGGGACCTGTAAATTTTCAGTTTTTCCAAGGTAGTATGATCAAAGGAGAGGTGTTTACTCCTTTCCTGGCCTTTGCTGTGGTCTATGAGTGACCATAAACACTCTTTTCTACCTTGTAACTGTGAGGAGGATTCCCTCTCCACCGCTGCCACAAGCTCAGCCACACCAGTGCTCCTCCTCACCCTGGGACTGTGACCCAGACCCAAGCATGGGCAAAGCAAGAGAATCCTGCCTCAGTGCTAGCAAAGAGATCCCTGCAATTCCCCTCTGATCAGCTGCTCTATCCCCCCACCATCTGTGGGCTCAGAGCTCCAGAAGCAGCTGCTGCCCCTGTGGCCACCACCTGGGACTGCACTAGGGCTGTGCTCCTCTCTCACCCAGGTCTGACAGACCTTTCCCACAGATCTTCTAAGTTGTCTTTGGTGTTCATGGGTTGAGAAGTCTGGAAACCACCATAGCTGTCTGTGATTCAGTCTCCTGAGGCCTGCTGTGGGTTTGGTGTGGCCCCATCTTTGCCTATGTGGCCCACACTGAACTGCACTCCTCTCCCAGCCCAGTACAACAAACCCTTCCTATCAACCACCCAGGTTTTCTTGGGCTGGAAATTTGTTTCACTCTGTCTTTTTGTGGGGTCTACTGCTCTAGAATTTGTTTAGAGCCATTTTTACAGGTATGTGGAGGGGTTTGGGGGAGAGCTCAAGCAAGTCACTCAGCCATCTTGGCTCTGCCTCAGTAGAGAACATTTTTAACAGATGTTGCCATAACAAATACTCACCATTTCTAAACTATGTGGAATTTAAATCCTGCAAAATATAGAGACCTAGAAGAAAAATAAAAATCTCATGGAATTGTGACAATATGCATGTCATCTCTATCATCCTCTTTGCTACTGGAATTGTGCTTTCAGCAAGTCTCCAGAAGATGAACTTATATCATAATACTCTTATACAATTACCAAAATAGTCATTTTATCCTCCAGTTCAATGGTCCACAGATCATTAAATATAAAAGAGTAATAGCAAGAGAATGCCTTTTCAACAGACTCTTTCTATCTGAAATCCATCAAAAAGTGGGTACAAAATAATATCATCATAATAGCTCACATTTATATAGCACTTTAAAGGTTTGCAAATCTCTGAATTTATGGGGCATCTAGGTGGCACAGTGGATAGAGCACTGGCCCTGGAGTCAGGTGGACCTGTAGTTCAAATCCAACCTCAGACACTTACTAGCTGTGTGACCTTGGGCAAGTCACTTAACCTTGTTTGCTTCAATTTCCTCATCTCTACAATGAGCTGAAAATGGCAAACCACTCTGATACATTTGCCAAGAAAACCCCAAATGGGGTCATGAAGGGTCAGACATGACTAAACAATAACAAACTTACATAATTTCATTATCTCCCTACCTCACCCCCACATTGATTTAGAAAAATAAAAATAAAAATAAAAACTTGTCCCATTTTCCTAAGATAGATTTGGAATATAAACAGGTGTTTTCCTATGTTAAGACTAGGATTAGAAATGAGCTTTCTCTTTTATTCTTCCTACCTTGAATCTGGATTACTCTATGTTTGACCAGGCTGAGATAACTCTCTTCATCTTTTGATTAAGTGAGTAAGAGTAAGACTTTCTGAGTTTGGATGTCCCAAAAAATCAGCTCTGAGGGAGGAAAGCAAATCCTTCAAGAACAGTTACTAATCTTTCCTTTTTCCACTCAGAAAATCCTCTCACCACTTTCAAGGAGCAGCCACTGTAGAACCATAGAATCTCAGCTATGTACCTAAACATGAACCCCCTTTATCCCTTTCCAGAACAGTGGTCTGCTTGAGGACATCCGAGGAGGGAAACCACTGCCTCTCAAGGAAGCCCCATTCCACTTTTGGACGGCTCTAATATTAGGAAGATTTTCCTGACATCAAAAGCCTATATTTGACTCTTTTCAATTTCAACCCATTGTTCTTGGATCTGGGACCAAAGAGAATACAATCTAATTCTCCCTCCCCATGACAACCCTTCAGATACTGTAAGACAACTGCTATGTCTTCCCCTCTCCCTAAGTCTTCTGTTCTATAGGTTAAATATCCCCAGTTTCTACATCTGGTCTGCATATGCTGATATAAACACTATTCCTATGCTGCTACCCTCCTCTGGGCCCTCTTCAGCATTCTTTCCTAATCCATGGTGTCCAGAAATGAACATAGCCCTCTAGAAGTAATCAAAACAAGGCAGAGCATAGCTTGACAGGGGTCAAGTGTTCTTCCAGGGCTCTGGGCTAAATGTGTTTAGAGGAAATGGTTCTGTGTTCTTTTCCAGCACAGGAATTATTTCATTTTTTGTTTTCTATCTCTGATACCTAACATAGTACCTAGCAAATAATAGTCACTGAGTACTTGTTCATTGATTGATTGATTAATCACATGTGCTTAATTAACCTATGTCCAATCTGATCCCTAAAGTGTATCCTGGGATCACATTGCTCCATCTCTACCTTGACTCTCAGATCCAAATATTTTGAATGGAGTCTACATGTCAGAAGCCTTAAACCCTGTTTTTGTGGAGAATTTCCAAAGAGATCCAACACTGACGTGGCAGTATTTTGGTAGCTCCTCTGGATTCTTCAGGCTCTATCCAGGTATGAAAATGGTGAGGCAGGGAGAGGATGTGGAAATGTGCTTTCTAAATCTATGCTTCTCTGGGGAGATTCTGTTCTGAGGTCATGGGACATCCAGTTTGAAATGTCCACCAAGCAGTTGGTGATGTGAGAATGTACCTCAGGACAGGTTAGGGCTGAGTATATAGATTTGCACAGAGGTAAAAACAATTCATAGAAGCTGATGAGGTCTCTAAAGAGCATAGAGAAAGAAGAGAAGACCCAAGATAGAGCCTTGGGGTCCACCCACAGTTAGGAGGTAGATTGTAATTATAATCCAACAAAGGATTCTGAGAAGGGACAGTCAGACATCTAAAAGAAGATGAAAAAAGAGATCCGCTAATGTAGTACAGTACTGGGTCTGAAGTTACAGGACTTTAATCCAACCCCTAGCCTTGCCATTTGCTAACTGTGTGACTTTGCACAAGTCATTTCACTTTTTACTCATTTGTAAAATAAGAGGGTTGGACTACATGATTGCTAAGGTCTATTCCTCTATGTGTGTCAGGAAAACAGAAGAGAGGCTGTCCAGGAGGAAAAAAATGATCAATGGTGTCAAATGCTGCAAAGAGGTTAACAAGAATGAAGATTGAGAAAAAACCATTAGATCTAGCAATTAAATCATTGGTGACCTTGGAAAGAGCAATCATAACCAAGTTGAACTTATGGTCAGCTAAAACCCCAAAGTTTTTTTCCACATAGACTACTGTTAAATTAGTTGTCCCTCATGTTTTATTTGTTTAAATTTTTAACCTTAATTGTATTTATTTCTTAGAGAAAGAGAGAGAGAAGCAGTACAGTATAATGGATTTTTTGTTGTTCAGTTTTTGTTGCTGTTCAGTCACGTCCAACTCTTCATGACATTATTTGGGGTTTTCTTGGCAAAGATACTGGAGTGGTTTACCATTTCCTTCTCTAGTTCATTTTACAGATGAGGAAACTGAGGCAAACAGGGTTAAGTGACTTGCCCAGGGTCACACAGGTAGCAGGTGTCTGAGGCCAGATTTAAACTCAGGAAAATGAGTCTTCTTGACTTCAGGCCCAGCACTCTATCCACTGTACCACCTAGCTGTCCCAATGTAGTGGATAGCTAGCCTCAGAGTGAGGAAGATCTGTGTTCAAGTCCTGCTTTAGACATATACTGGCTATGTGACTCACCCTGACTTCTCAATGTCCCCAGGCAACTCTTAAAAACTGTCAACTGCTGAAACAATATGCATTAGTAGAAAAAAAAATTCCTCGCCAAAAGCTCCCTACACTGGTAAAATCACAGGTCCCATACCAAAAAAATTGAGGCCCATCATTTTTAGCACACTAGCATCATTTTGGGAAAATGTTGCTCCAATTTTAAAAAAAAAGAATAGAATAGAGTGTCTGAACTAGTGAGTTTGACTTTAATTTCTAGAGGAACATATTCTTAAAGGGATGCTTAATGAATATATAGAGAAGGCAACATAGAAAGACTTATGGCTCCAAGAACAAACCATGCTATTACTAGACTGGTAGATTAAGTTAATGCTGCATAATTTACCTAGATTGTAATAATACATTCACTAAAGCATCTCATATTCTTCTCATGGAAAAAAATGAAAAATGTCTACTAGATGATAGAATAGTGGTAAAGCTTCAGAACTGATTGAAAGGCAAGACTTATGGTTCAGTGGCAACCTGGAAGGAGGTCTCCTATGGAACTCCCCAGAGATCTCTGCTTGCGCCTGTGATGTTCTACATTTCTGTCATTGTCTTGGAAAATGCATAGATGGTGAATATAGATTGAGGCAGCATTAGGTACTATACAGAAATTAAGTATAAATCCTGGGTCGAGGCAACGTGATGAATACATCATTACTCCACAACACTATCAAGATTTAATTCACCAGTTTCCAGGATAGTAACTCCTGAAGAGTTAGAACTCCAATTCAGTGTGGGTGACACAGCAAAAAGTTGGAAGAACTAAAGTTGACTTTTGGATACCATCTCTCTATGAAGTCTTTATAAAATTTTGCCTGTTGTCAGTCAAAATTTCTGTTTTTATTATACATCTATTACTTTGAGTAACTTGTGAGCTTCATGTGTTTTTTGTTTCTATTCTGTAAATTTATAAGTAAACTCTTATTTATAAAAAAAGAAAATGCATAGATGGGATATTTATCAGATTTTCAGAAACTACAGAGATAGGAGGGAAAGATATGACATTGGATGATAGAGTTAAGATCCAAAAAGGTCTTGACAGGCTAAGATATTGGGACAAATTTTAATAAGGTGAAATTTACTAGAAATAAATGCAAAGTCTTACAACTGGGTTCAAAAAATCAATTTCAAAACAGTAAAACAAAAGGGGCATGGCTACATAAAAGTTCATTTGAAAAAGATAGAGGGGGTACTAAAGAACTACAAGCTCATTATGAATCAACAGACTGATATAGCATCCAAAAGTTAATTTGATCTTGGGTTAGAACGGTGATAGTCCCACAGTGCCCAGATCATATCTGGAATATTGTGATCAGCTTTGAATACCACATTTTAAGAAGGAGGGCAATCAAGATGGTAAAGAATCTTGAGCTGGTATCATATGAAAGAATGGGGTGTTTAGCTTGGAAAAGAGAAGACTTGGGGAACATGATAGTTGCCTTCAAGTATTGGAAGAACTATCATGTGAAAGAAAAATTAGACTGGTTTTATTTTGCTCCAGAAGGAAGGAATAGGAACAAAAGGTAGAAGGTAAAAAATAAGCAAATTTAAACGTGATGTAAGGAAACATTTTCTAACAATTAGAGCTGTTCACCAGTGGAATGAGCTGCCTCTAGAAGTGGTGGGTTCACCCCCATTGAAGTTGTTCATGCAAAGGCTGGATGGCCACTTATCAGATATATCATCATATAAATTCCTTTTATATATGAGTTGTACTAGACAGCCATTGAGGTCCCTTCCAACTTTTAAATCCTGTGATTATGTGAGTTCGTCCTAACTTCATATTTGGAATCTGCCTGTGAGTTGAATAGAGATAAGGGCCCTGGCTCCCAAATTTTGGGGGTCCCCTTTTCTAATTCTCTGCTTATTATGTGGCAGGCCATGCAGGATTCTGTGTCTGGTGGTTGGGAGAGGAAGAAGTCAGCAGTGAAGGAAGAAGTCTTCCTTTTCTCTTCTTCATTGTCACTCTCCACAGGGCTACCACCTGTGGACCATTATCATTCAATGGCTCTGTTCTTAAATGAGTTTGACAATTGTAATAAAAGAGATCATGGATATGAATGTCATTATATGAGCTATGGTTCTGAGTCTGCTTCCTTGAGCAGATGAAACAGTCCCAGTTCTCTTCTCTCCAGGTATAAAGTGGACCCCTGATGAAAGTGGAGTCATTACCTTCGATTGCCGGAACCGAGGATGGTAAGAGAGCTTGTTCCCTGAGAGAGGTCTCTATCCTCCTTCTAACTTTTCCCTGATTGTCTTGGGGCTTTAATTTCCTCCTTGGTCAGCCAATCAAAAAGTATTTATTAAGCAACTACTGTCAACTGTGCTCAGGGACTCAAAGAAAAAGCAACATTCATGGTCCCTGCTCTTAAGGAGCTTATATTTGAATGGCGTCTCAGCTGGGAAAGAAGAAAGGGAGGCAGAGTTCCTGTCCAACTGCCTCCTTCACCTTTCACCAATGAGATTATTCTTGCTGTAGCCTCTCCTCACTCACATGGTTTGGTGTCAACCCAAAATCTCCACTTACACTGTCTACCTCTCGGAATCTTCCCTAGCCGGACCCTGAATCACCCCGCCACATGGCTCACTTCTTCCCCCTTTTTTTGGTGCCTTGTGGTGAGGCTATCGGATTCAGGCTCAAAGGAACAGACAGGATTCTTTTGCCTTCTTTCCAAAGGTACATCCAAGCTGCCACTTCTCCCAAGGATATTGTGATTCTGGTGGATGTGAGTGGTAGTATGAAGGGGCTGCAGATAGCCATCGCCAAGCATACCATCTCTACTATCTTGGACACCCTGGGGGAGAATGACTTTGTCAATATCATAGCGGTGACTATATCCTCCTATTCTAGAATAACTCTCACCCAGTGACCCTAGAACAGTCCCGTTCTACATGCTCTAGAATGATATCTAGGCCATGTGTGAATCTAGCATGTTTCCTGACACCCTCTACAATAGACCTTAGCGCACTGTCAGTTTCCTATCCTTTGTGCTCTAGAGTGACTTGCTACATTCCTGATTTAGAATGATTCTTGACTCTCATCTTTAAAACGATTTCCATCCTACCCCTATTTTCTTTACCATTTATCTATACTCACCATCCTGGAATAAGGAGCATATAGAAGGCAAAAACTCAAAGATGTCTGTATTCTAGAACTTCCCAGTGATCTCATGACTGAGGACCTTCATTCACAGAGAGAGAAAAAAAGGAAATGAAGGGAGGAGGAATTACTGAGAAGCTGTGATAAGTGTGCAAAGGAATGGGGAGAGGGACCGGGACCTAGGTGAGGCATGCGTGTAGATGGCCATCCCTTTAACAGAGGTCACTGGAAGGCCTTACCACACCAGCTAGCCACTATGTCTAAAAGTACCAAGATTATCCTTTGAGAAAGAGCAGTGTCCTGATGAAACACAAATATATTGCCTAGAAGTGACAAGACATTAACTCATTAATACCATTGTTCATCATTACTTATATCAGCAAGAGGAAGCAGGGATAAACAGTGGGAGTGGGAGTGAAAATATTTGGAGAGGGGGGTTCTATGAAAGGAAGTCAGCCCCAGGTAGGACACTACTAGGAAGCTCAGGAGCTTCATGTCCCACCTTCTTCAAAGGGCAATAGTGAACAGGGCAGCTAGGTGGTGCAATGGATAGAGAACTGGCCTTGGAGTCAGGAGGACCTGAGTTCAAATCCAGCCTCAGACATTTACTAGCAGTGTGACTCTGGGCAAGTTACAAGTCACTTAACTCCAATGGCCTTAAAATAAAAAAAAGGAGGGGCAATAGTGAAGAAAGCACTCTTTTGACTCACTAAATACCCTGCATTTCTGTAATACTAATAATGGGTATTATTAGGGTTAGTTGGATACTAATAGCTAAGTACTAATTAGAGAGATGCTAATAATAGTTATTATTATTAATATAATAATATAATAATATTATTATTAATATAATAATAAACATTGGGTATTTAGTGAGGGAGGAATGTGCCAAAATCAAATCTTGCTGACTTCAAAATCTTTCTACTGGTCAGCCCTATATTAGCATGAAAGATTGACAGGATAGAACATGGATAGACCCTCCAGTTCTATTATATTCTCCTCAGATCTCACCTTTTCCAGCCTCCTATCATTCTTAAGTCCTAACTCTCATGCCCATATTGTATCCCTACTTCTGTGAATGTAGTAGTAATGGAAGGGATACACTCAGCAGGTTTCTGCCATTCACTGGGAATAAATGAACATATTCTTCCTATCAAAGAGATTTAACCAGTCTCCCCTTGCCCCCACCCCTAGCCTTTTTCTACATGGAAGAGAATCACATTATTAATATTCATATATTAATTCACAATATTCATATTATCCTTGCTGATGCCAGTCAAAATCAATGCTGTCCCATTGTACTATATCAGGATATCTCCCCTTTTCTGACTTAGACCAAAAGTAGATTAAAAATACCAAAATAGCTCCAAGCACTTAACTTTTTATTGCATAAGAAGAAGTCAATTCACATTCTTTTCCCTAGTTGATAAACAAAATATATTTTCCAAGCCTGTAACAGTGAGAAAAAGGACAGATTGAGGACCAGGGAAGAAGGGGATGAGAAGCCATCTCCCCTCTATCCCAGGGCCACTTTAGCCAATTGAAGCAGCATCTCCAGCCTTTGAGGAATAACAAGTCAGAATACTAAGGGAGATATGTCTGAAGGTTCTGTCCTCAAGACTAGGCAGAAGCAGAAATAGGGAGGTCACATGCTGCTGACTACACCTTAGCCCACTTAGTTATAATATTGCACATAAAATGCTTTGAGGTTATGGCGTATGGTGGAAAGAGTTCTGGATTTGAAGTCAGAGGACTGGAGTTTGTAACCAAGTACAGCTACTTATTATTGGTGTGGCTTTAGGCTAATTTCTAGTCTTAGTTTCCACATCTGAAAAATGAGGGAATTGGACTAGATCAGAGGCATCAAACATGAGGGCAAGATAGAAGCAAAACCAGATTAAAATGTAGTTGGGATATATTTGGATAGATAAGATAGTTAAAATGCAAGAGAACATAGATAATGTAAATGTATAGTTTTCTAAGTAAATACATGACTCAAGGATCCCTATGTATGGTTTAGTGGCCCCGTCTCTATTTGAGTTTAATACCACTGGACTAGATGACCCCCAAAGTCTCCCCTAGCTCTTAATATATGATGCTAAGTGATTGCTAATTGAAGGGCACTTTTCCATTAATGTTAAATGCTACTTAAGTAATTTGCTTGTTTATTTTCCCTTTCAGTCCCGCTATGTGATTTCATTAGCGTAGAAAATTTTCTCCATTGTTTATTAAGAAGTCATCTACAATTTATAGTCTTAGAGGGTTTCCAGGAACACTGAGAGGTTAAATAATTTGCCCATCACAAAACGACCAAGTAAGGATTTGAACTTGGGTCTGATTCCAAAGTCAGTCATCTATTTACAATATATACAATGACTCTCACAACACTATATATACAATTTATTATATACAATGACTCTCAGGTCATTGCAATGAAGACCAAGTGAATTTGCTCAGCAGGAGTTATTTTTTTCACTTCTTTCAAGGCAGAACAACAATATTAGGACAAATTTCTATGATGTTGGAAGGTTTGACACAGAATGATTAGGTCTCACATGTGCTGTCCTAGCCAAGTTTGCCAAGAGTAAGTTACTCCTCCTGACCATGGCACAAGAGTCCCCACGCTACTTGGATGAGTCTGACCCTACAGGCTGCTTGCCTAAGCTTCACTGGAGGTTGACTATCTAAACTGACCCTGTTTCATTCTCTCCCTCTTCCCTACAATGTTCCCTCCTACTGGCTACAGTACAATGATTATGTTCATTATGTGGAACCTTGTTTTAAAGGGATTCTCGTTCAGGCTGACAGAGACAATCGAGAGGTGAGTATTGTGGGTAAAATTGTCGGTGCCATAACAAACCAGAACCAGTACCAGAACCCAACATCCAAACCCGATACCAAGAGTTTGGGAAACAACAAGGGCTTGTTGAGTTTGCCGTCGAGGAAACCCCACCCGTCCACACAGAGGCTTTCCGAAGGAGCAAAAGAACTAAGCTCATACAGGTTTCAATTTAGGCAAGAGGTGAATTGAGTATGGGGCGCTTTAGAATTGGACAGGGCTGTTTCTGGGGTAGGAACAGGGGACGTGGTCCTCTTGCGCTGGGCTCTTCTTCAGATCAGCTATTTCTTATAACTCCACCCTAATAGATAGGACTGTCATTGCTGTTTCAGCACTAAGAAAGGTAGCAGGCAGGGGAGGGGTTGCAATACAAAAAAAGAGGGGCAAGACAGTGGAACTGCTGACAAAATGGAGGTGTTGTAGCTTTCTCGGTTACCCATGGCGTCCACACTGGGACAAATAGTTTCTCCTCGGTGCTGGATTAGTGTTGCATTCTCTCTTGAACTTGTATTTATTCTTACATGATGAAAGGATGCACAGCTCTATGTAAATATATGCAGCACTGTTCTTTGGCAGACTAACTGCCCGTTTACCCAGAGCAAATAGCAAATACTTCTTCAGGAGAGAAGAACAGAAGACTAATTTCACTCAGTCAGTTCTTAATCAGAATAATTAGTCAATTTGTAAGAATACTGGTTGACCTACTAGATTGTAAAGTCTGTGAAGGCAGGGGGAGTCTTGTTTAATCTTATATCTCCCCCAGTTGTATTCCCAAAGTGGTGAAATGAGAGCACAAGCCCTAGCAGGGCCCCTAAGCTTCCAGAAAGGCTCTGAGCATGGGCGCAGAGACAGATTCTGTTGTTCCAGGACCTCACACCCTGCGTAATGAATTTTTTGGTCTCCGCAGCTCAAGAAGACCATCTTCGAGGCCTAGAAGGTCTGTGCACTCTCTGTATGGGGGTAGAAGGGGAGAGAAAGCACCCACACATCCCATGAAATTATAGATATTTTGAGGATCTGTGCATAGAGAGTAGAGGTGGAGGAAGCATCCACACTCCCTATGAAATGAGACTTATTCTGAAATGTCCAGCAGAGTACTCTGCATATAGTAAGCATCTATTCAATATTTGTTAAAGACCTCAGTGAACTCAGGGGCTGATTATCCAGCTTGTGGATTAACTAGGTAGCCCTTATTCCTCACTCCCCCACTTCTCCTCCTGTCATTCTCTCTCCTGCTCTGGGTCTTTGACCCATTTCAGTTCTGTTGGGGTAGGGTCAAAAAATAAACAATTAAAATGCAAAGAGAAGTATATTCTACTTAATCCCATTTCTGCCATCTCAGTGTAACCTCGGCCAAGTCTCTGGCCGTTGATAAAATGAAGAGTTTGGACTAGATGGTAATTTATGGTTTCTTCCACCTCTCAAGATCCTACGAATCTCTAAATAAGGGCACCTAAGGGTAAGAGAGAGGAGGAAAAATTATAACCAATTAATTTGGGCCCTTGAGAGAAGCTCTTTAAAATATTAGTTGAAGGTAAAGAGATGAATTGTCTATTCTTCTTGGAAAAAGGGTGGGAGGGATTGTAGATGCTGAATGTTGCATACTCTGTCAGATATAGTCTCTGTGTCATTTTTACTTATTTGTTCTTTGTGGCAAGAGAAGGTTATGGTGGTAAGAAAAAGGAAAATGTCTGTGGTAAAAAAAATGCATAAACCAAACTTTTAAAAAAAGAAATTAAGTACAATTTTGAACATCACATATCCGATTATCAGTGACCATACAGGATTTAAACTTAACTTTGTTTTGCCCCTTTTTGGAGGCAGAATGAACTAGTAAAAATATATGTGTCTATGGGTGTATGTGTGTATGTATGTATATGTATATGTATGGGTAGGTGTGTACATATGCATGTACATTTATATTTGTATGTTTATGTGTATATGTGTATGCATATATACACATACATGTATGTGTGTATATATACATGTGTGTATATATTTTGTGTATGTGTATATATATGTATATGTATATGTGTATATATATATATATATATATATAGTCCCAAAAGTATCGGTGACATTTTAAGTTTTAAAGATTCTGGGATACATGGTATATGGGACTTTGAGTTGATTCCCAAATGTACGCTTACATACATATTTGGTAGTGAAAACAGTGGACCGAAGACAAAATATTTGAGTTTGACTCCTCCTTGTACCTTTGTTTCCCACTTGGACCCATTATTGAACTTTTTGGTATCTCAGCGGATACCCCAATAATAGGCCATAATTACAGAAAGTGCTCTTGAGATGTCATGACTAACATTGACCTGAAAAGACTTAAAAGCTGAGTAGATGCTGGCTCTGGCTGGTCATTTCTTAAGAGAAGCATTTGTAATGAGCCATTCATACCCTCACTCCTCATTCTTAAAACCAATGATATGTGTTTGGGTAACCAGCTATTTGAGTATGATCATAAATCAAAATGAAGTTAACTGGTTATTGGTGAAACCTCAAAAACTGGTTTGATCTAACCAATCGCCCAAGCTTGTTAGCTTGTTAGCGGGTATCTGCTTCCTCCTACACTAGCCCCATATTGTGTCTATATGATTGAACTTTGTGTGGTTTTTCCATCTTTCTCTTACTTTGCCAGCATTTCAAGCAGCTTGTGGAAGAGTTGATGGTCAAGGGTGTGGGGATTGTGAACAAGGCACTGAGTGAAGCCTTCAGGATCCTGAAGCAGGTTAAGGCACTATGTACTATGCATAGGGAGGGTGGGTATGGGGCATGAAGGAGGGGCCAGAGAGAACAACAAAGGGAACATAGTGTTGTTGGGTTTTCCATTTCCTTCTCTCACCCTTGCCCTTACAGTTCCGAGAGGATGGACGAGGAGGCCTTTGTAACCAAGCCATCATGCTGATCACTGATGGGGCAGTAGAGGACTACGAGACTATATTTGAGAAGTATAACTGGCCTGATAGAAAGGTTAATTTCTGAATGGGGAAGGGGTAGGGGGATAATTGCCACTATTGATCTAGAGGGTGCTAGTGTAGAAGATGGAGCAGGAAAGGATTCGTGGAAAAGCCTTGGAAACCAAAGGTCCATAAATGTGTTTCCAGCTCTGCTGCCAACTCCCTGTCCTCAACCTCTTCTTTAATCAGATGACGGATCACAGGCCTTTACAATGGCTCAGTTTTCTACTCTCCATATTGGGGAAATGGGGGAGGGGGATAGGAGGAGAAAACAGGGTTTAGAAATTATAAAGTGCTTAATATCTGAGTGCCAACCAATTAAGTAAGTAAGTAACAATAACAATAAAGTCAGAAGTTACCTCTTGGTTGATTGATTGCATGGGTTTTCTGAGTTAATCTAGGTCTTTTTTCTTTCTTGATCAGGTTCGGGTTTTTACTTACCTCATTGGGAGAGAGGTCACTTTTGCTGACAAGATGAAGTGGATTGCATGCAACAACAAAGGTATGTAACCTATTATCGGAGTTTCTCCAAGTCAACAAGTGCAAGAAAGGGAGGTCGGTTTTGAGCAGACACGGTACCAGCCATGACAGCTCACTAGGCAGAAATGCTCAGAGCAGACTTCCCATCACAAGGGGTGGGGTTGGGTGGGAGCAGGGCCGTCGCTGTCTCTCTTCCTCTCTCTTCTGGAGAAGTCCCCCAAATTCAGGCCAGTTTTTTCTGCACCACTTTACTAGCTGTCAGGTTGAAACATCCTTGGCCAGCAAGGTTCTTAGCCACCAAATGTTCTCCTGCCACTCTAGCACGCTGCAGAGGAAAACAGCATGATACAGTGAAAAGGAATATTCAAATATACCCGACAAGTAATGTGAGCAAGTCTCTCTGGATGGTAGATCTTAGAGCTGAAAGGGACGTCAGGATCCATCTAGTGCAGCCTCCTCATTTCTCAGCTGAGGAAACTGAGACCGAGGGAAGTTAAGTCTTCCCCAAAGCCATCCAAATAGTGGACTTCAAAGGAAGGGTCTAGACCCAGGTCCTCTGACTCCAGAACTAGTGCCCTTTCCATTTTACCAATATAATTACCCCCATTTTACTGAAACCAAGACACAGAGAGGTTAAAGGACTTGGTCAGTGTCACATAGTCAATAAATCTTAGAGCAATTACCTAGTCTAATCCCTCTGTTCTATAACTATGAACACTATGAAAGGATTGGGCTAAATGATCTTCAAAGTCCTTTCCAACTCTGTGATCGTTTGTTGTTATCAATGAGTCATTTCAGTCCTGTCTTGATCCCACTTGGGATTTTCTTGACAGAGATACAAGAGTGGTTTGCCATTTCCTTCTCCACCTCATTTTACATCGGGGTCACCCAGCTAGTAAGTTTCTGAGGCCAGATTTGAACTCAGGAAAATGAGTCTTGCTGGTTCTAAGCCCAGTGCTGTATCCACTGCGCCATCTACCTGCCCCTTCTAAGAGCATATTAAGTTCTAATTCCTATCTTTACCAGTGTAAATGATGTACCTGAGGGCCATAAGCAATAGTAATACAGATGTCTCTCTCTAGGACCTTTTGGTCCTAGGTCCGTGCGCAAGTTCTTATTTGTACAGTTGTCTACAGCCTAAGTAGCCGATGCTTCAAACAATGAACGTCCCTCCCTTCAAACTCTTTCCCTTTACTCACTTCTCTACCCGCTCAAAATCCATGTCCTTCATGAAGAGTTGGCTAAGTAGACTATTGGAAATGTTCCCAACACTTGGGCTATGCCCTACTTTACAAGTTGAAGGGAATGACTCAGGGTTACCTATCCTATTAATTAAGAGTTGCAATGGATAAGACATCCTTATGTCTAACCTGTTAGATTCTTCCTAATGTCATTAGATTGTAAGCTCCTTGAGGGGAAGGAGTATCTTTTGCCTCTTTTTGTATCCTCAGCACTTAGTACAGTGCCTAAGAGATAGTAGATGCCTGTTGTTGTTGTTGTTGTTCAGTGTTTTTCAGTCATGATGGACTCTTCGTGACCCCGTTTGGGGTTTTCTTGGCAAAGATACTAGAGTGGTTTTCTATTTCCTTCTCCAGCTCATTTTACTGATAGGGAAGCTGAGGCAAACAGAAAAACAGTGACTTGCCCAGGGTCATAGAGCTAGTAAGTGTCTGAGGCCAGATTTGAACTCAAGAAGATGAGTCTTACTGACTCCAGGCCTGTCATTCTATCCATTGTGTCAGCTAGCTGCCCCTAGTAGAGACTTAATAAATGTTTATTGTTTGATTGATTAATAAAATTTATTCTACTTTCTCTGGTTCAGAAATCAATAGAAAGAGCAGGTAGTCACCATTCTGTTTATAATCTTTCATATACAAACTCTGACTTTGCCATCTCTGGAGCAAGGGACCTAAGCTGGAGACTACATGGAGTCCGATTGTCCCTCAATTCCTTCTCCTGCTCCATCTTGTGCCCAGACAAATCCCTAACCAAATGCATGAAAAGATAATGTGCAGGGAGAGAGGGAGGCTGGAGGGTGATTCAAGCACTCCTTTCTTCTACATAGGCTACTACACACAGATCTCCACCCTAGCAGACGTCCAGGAGAATGTGATGGAGTACCTGCATGTACTCAGCCGCCCCATGGTCATTAATCATGACCATGACATCATCTGGACTGAAGCATACATGGACAGTAAGGTAAGGGGTCTTGGGGGATAGAGACTCTGGGTTCAGAGTCCAGTTAAGAGGAGTTGGGGGAAACCTAAGCTCATGATCACCCCCTTCTCCTTAATCAGTGAATCTTAACTAGCCTCAAGAACTGCATTCCCAAGACAAGAAGTGAGTAAGCAGGGCAAAGTTTTGAAACTGGTCATCGTTGCTCTCCGATTTTTCTTATCAGTGCCCCTCTTCTGCCTCCTGATATCTCTTTCCACCCCAAAATTCCAGGTACCCCAGTGCTGCTCTCTACCTACTTGGAACCCATAACCCCTAGCACATCACTCAAGCCAATCCTTTCTGGGCTGTGCCTTGCTCTGAAATTTTTCTCTACCTCTTCCTCACATTAAAATTCATATTCCCCTTGTAATTCTCTTATATTAGATAAATCCACTGACACGAAAGTGTTAGTGGCAGATGTGAGTTTAATGGGCTACTCTTCCTAGGTGTATTTAAAAGAGGTTCCTTCCTCTCTTCCTAGAAGATTAAAAAAAATTCATTTTTATTGCTGAAATTTCAGGTAGTGCTGTGAAAGAGAGATTTAGGGGATGAGAGGAGGTGCCTTCTCAGCTCCCCCAAATCATACCTAATACATAGGTAGCCTCCTCTTGGGAAAAAGAAGCTAACTTAAGACGTTATGTCGGCATGGTTATCAACAGGCAGGGTGGTGCCCAGGATTTCTTAGTAAAAGAGACAATCACAAGGCTTCCATCCAGTTTTGTTTATGACTTCTTACATGTAAGTTCCTTGCAGTAGATTATATTGTACTTGTGTTTCTAGTACAGTTCCTGGTACATAGAGGGTATTTAATAAATACTTGATCAATTGACCAAAGGCAAAGTTATTCTTGCCTCTGCTTCAGTCTTTCTTGCCTCTTATTTGTTAATTGGGAATAATGAAATTGTTTGATTTGCCCATAGTCTAATTAATCTACCTACAAGAAACTCATCCTAAAGGGTAGGGTCTTAAAGATGATTTCCTAACATTGTTCACTGGTTGCTCTCATGATGCACTTTTGCATCATGTACTTCTCATGAAACCTTTACTTCATCTGGACTAATTTCTCCTTAAATTGTTCATGTTCCTTTGATGTTTAATGCAAAGTCTTGCTCAATAGTAGGTATTTCACAAATATTTATTGACTGAGTGAATGCATCTTCATTGTGCTTAAGTCTCCCTCTGCCACCATGTTTCATGCTTTCCATTCTCACATTATTTGCTCCTCCCTTCATCCATGCTGTCCCTAAGCTGCCACAGTCTGAGGAGGTAACAGCCTCTCTAGTGCACTAAGTGTGGTTTTTCCTTCCTGTGTGAATGTCTGTCTGTCTGCATGATGGGGGGGCTATCAAGGAGATAGTTGTCCCCGAACTCACAAACAATGGAGTCAGAGAAAGACTTCGACGGGCAGAGTACGAAAGCTGGAATTATAGGGCCTTTAGCAGCCAGCGGCCAGCCCCTAAGAGTAAGCCATTAACAGGAACTTGGGAAGATCAGGGCCTATGGCAGAGAGGGAACCCATGTTGCCTTATAACTTATAGACATGGTGCCGCCAGACTTTTTCTGCCTAAGCTTTTCTTTGGCATTTCACAGATCCCTTATCAATGTTTCTCCTTTTTCTTTCTGCTGCCATAGTTGATGTACCTTCACCTTTATATTTAAAATCTGATCCTATAACTCTCTGCAATTAAAAAAAATGCCGTAAGAAATCCAATACTCCCTAAAAACTCCACTCTCTCCTTTCTTTCCCTTGGTTGTGCCTTCCCTTCCTGAGGGAAGCGCTTCCTTTGCAATAGATTCATGGTCCAGTCCGTTGCCATTAGGCTAGGCCATATGAAATACAGATGAGCCACCAATTAAAAACAAAAGCAGGCATATAAAACATTAATTTACAAAACAGATAAATTGGTGGGACACTTCACAAAGTATTCTTTACCTTCCAAAAGGACTCACTGCTGCTTCCTTAAAGAGCTAACTCTACCAGTGAATTCAGAATGTGATTCATTTTGCAAAAGATCTACCAATATACAACTTTCTAGAAACATTTCTATTGCCCCCGCCAAAAGCGTGAATTCCTTTCTCTGGATAGCAGTAGGGACCTCAGTAAAGTGTTGGTGTGGCAGGTGAGATGGAAAGTGAGATGGTCTGGTTTGTTAAGGAAGATCCCAGATCTTGGGGAGAGATTGTATGCACATATGTCTCATGACTGAGTGATCAGTGGAACACTTGACTGTCTGGTGGTATGTATTTGTGGTGCTGTGGCTTAATGTATAAGTAGGTGTCTTAAAAAGTCAAGTGGTAGTACTGTTTTTCCTTTGATCGTGTTTGTGCTGTGGTTTGTACCTGCAGAATGTCCATGTGTTTGATCTACACGTATATGTGGAATTCTCTTGGTGTCCACATGGTGGTACGTCTTCATTATTTTCTGGATATACATGTTATGTCTGTATTCCACAGTCACAAGAATCACTCGTATGTTGCCAGTACATCAGAAGGCTTTCAGCAGTTTGGATGTGAGCTTGGCTGAGAGGACTGGGATTCTGAGATTTGGGTCTGTGCTTTGACTAAAGCAGATATTTAATGAGCCACAATAGAATCTCAGACCTATTGGCATTTCCTCACTAAGAATTTAGACTTTTGTTTGAGAAGCAGCATTGGTTCCACCACCCCCAAGCAGCAGGATGACAGCCACCTTCTTGAGTCACATTTACTTCCTATCTTCCTCATCCATAGTAGAGAAGATACCTTTGTAATTATCAGTGCCATATCCTCTGCAGTCATGTGAGTGTTCTGAATTTGGGCACCTATGAAATTTCTCATTCCTAACCTTGCATTTTGCTTTCTCCTCTCTGGCAGCTCTTTGCATTGCAGCCCCAGAGCCTATTGCTTATGACCACAGTGGCCATGCCAGTCTTTAGCAAAAAGAATGAGACAGTAAGTAGCAACCCCAGGACTCCTGCAAGATGGATCTTGTGATGGATGGGTCTACTGAAAAGAGCATAGATTGCTGATCAGATTTTACAGCTAGTTACTCAATTCCTTGGACAGATTTAAAGGTTCCATTGGATATACCCATGCCCTCCTTTGGGCAGAACCAACAACCAAAAGAGCTCATGCTCAGATTCTGTTTTTAAGGCCCTCTCCACATTCTTTCTCACTCTATTTTCCACCAGCCGGAAAATTCTTCCTTATGTGCAACTTTTTCCCCATCTTCACACGAGGCAAACTCACCCTGCCATCCTACTTGTGGTCCCTAGATTTAATTCTAGGAAAGTAGAGCTAGAAGGTAAATACAAAGAAAGAGTCTCCAAAGGTCTCTGCCTCTCCCAGAGCCTAGAAAAACTGAGTTTTCAGTCTGGTCTTTGTCCACAGAGGATGACTAGATTGTTAGTTCCCAGAAGGCAGGAACTGTATCTTATCTAAATTTGGTATCTCTCCTAGGCTCTACTTGCAGACTGCTCTGCATACAGTAGGGACTTAACAAGTGTTTACTGAACCAATTGAAATCTAGTGCTTACTCTTTCAGAGATCTCATGGCATTCTACTGGGTGTGGTGGGTTCTGATGTACCTCTCAGAGAACTGATGAAGCTGGCACCCCGATATAAGGTAAGGTCCTGATCTGGGACAAAGTGCTGGCTCCCCCATAGGGGATGCACCCAACTATTATGCAACTCACCTCATTCTGATTTTGCAGCCTTACATTCCATTGATATTGCTAGGCAGATGTAGCCAGATCTAGGGAGAGGCTGAGTTCCCCTCTACCTGTTAATCTAAAGAAGAGTCTGGCATTAGAGCTTGGGATCCAACTTCTGCTCCTGATTTGCAAGACCTTAGCCAAGTTCTTTCCCTTCTCTGTGCCTCAGTTTCCTCACTGCCCCTCCCTAATTTATAGTCCTGTTGTAAAAGTGAATGCAATTGTATCCCCAAAGCTCTTAGAACTCCTGGCAAGAAAGATTTTAGCAGGACATGATTATTATTATTATTATTAATTATTACCCTTAGGCATAGAACATGTAAAAACATTCATATGAAAAAGGCTGGCAATAGGTCAGAACTCCTAATGGAGCTCTATCATTGCTCTATTTCACCTTACCCAACTATGACAACCCTGTCTTATATGTAAACTCTACTCCCATCCCAACTATACAACAGATAGAGCAAGATAAACACATTTCACTCCTTTCTTTTACAGCTAGGGGTGCATGGTTATGCCTTTCTGAACACTAACAATGGCTACATCCTCTCACATCCTGACCTCCGACCCTTGGTAGGTACATGTGCTTTGAGACCCATATGTGGGCAATTGGGGTAGTTAATGAAATCAATTAGTCAGTGTTTTGGGAGCATCTGTCATGTTCAGCACTGCACTAAGCATCGTAAGAGATGTAAGAAAATGTAAGGCATCATCCCTTCCTTCCAGAAGCTTATAACCTACGTGTAAAGATAAGACTAGAGCAGGAGAAACAAATAATGAACCTTCCAAGAGAATATGTGCCTAAGTGCTAAATTGTGAGATACAGAAGTCCCATAGCATGTAGTCCCTAGGCTCTCCATGCTTCTATTTCCATAACCTACTTACATCACTGTACTTCCCATTGGGAATGTAGCAATTATATAACCAGAACATGCCCTGGGAGGACCACCATTTTGTATGTAAAATGTTAGTATTTCATGTCTGGAAGCAGCCCGTGCCAAAAAGAAATGGAAGTTTGAATAGACTAAAAATTCACAGAATCACTGAAGTTCAGAATTAGAAGAGACTCCAGAGGCCATCTAGTACCTCCCATTCCTAAGAAAGGATTTCTTCCACAGCCCAGCCAACAGAAGGGCATTCAATCTTCCCTTAAAGACCTCAGATAAGGGACAACGATGAGCTAGCTCATCCCACTTCCAGAAAGCTCTAATTGTTAGGAGGTTTTTCCTGCTATCAAACCTAAATTTTCTTCTTTCCAACTTTCACTCTTTGCCCTTAGCTCTGCCTTCCAGGGCCGAACAGAACAAATCTAAGCCCTTTTCCACAGGACAACCCTTCTTTTTATAAGGATCGCCAGATCATTATGTGGCATGGTACTCCATCATCTCCATTGCAGCTCTCCTTGTTAAAATATGACTCCCACCACAGAACATAATATGTTAGCTATGGTCTGGGGGAACAGTGAAATTATCCTTACTACAGGATGCTCTTCCTCTCTTAATGGAGCCTGAAATTACATTGGCCTGCTATATTGCTGGGCAGGTAGGTGGAGCAGTGGTCAGAACACCAGGCCTAGAGTCAAGAAGACTGATGTTCCTGAATTCAAATCTAGCCTCAGACACTAATTAGTTCTGTTACCCTGGGCAAGTCACTTAACCCTGTGTGCCTCATTTTCCTCATCTGCAAAATGAACTGGAGAAAGAAATGGCAAACTAATCTAATATCTTTGTCAAGAAAATCCCAAAATGGGGTCACAAAGAATCAAACACAACTGAAAAATGATTGAACAACTTCATATTGAGTTTGCAGGCCACCAAACTCATTAGATCTTTCTCACTGAATTGCAATCTAGTCATGCCTCCCTCATCTTGGACTTATAAAGGTGAGGTTTTTTAACTCAAGACTTTGCATTGATCCCTATTAGATTTCATCTTATTAAATTTGAGAGACAGCATGTTGGACAGAGAGGTTGTCTCAAAGCCAGGAATACCTGGGTTCAATTCCTGCCTCTGACACATGTTGTGTGACCCTGAGCAAGTCATTTTAATCTCTCAATGCTCTAAGCAATTCTCTAAGATGGTAAGTTGAAGAGAAGATGCTGACCTGCATTGGTAGAGGGAGTTCTCTCCTCTGGGAGTACCCTATATCAATGAAATCACAAGTCCAGTTCCTAGTCCTAAATGACCCAGTATTATGGCCTGCCCAGTTGTTTCTCAACATGAGCCAATGGTGTGATGTAGCTCTCCCAAAAGGTAATTCAATCTTAGGTGGAACTAGTGGCTAAAGTCTCTTCTATCTTCTCTATTCCCACTGCCACTACTCTAATATGGTGTCCTGGGGATTGGGGGTGGGACATGGGGGAAACCATTAAATTTAGTGGACCAAGTTCAAATCCTGACTCTAACGCTTATTAGTTTTGTAAGCAAAGGGGAAATGAGATGAGCTCTGAATCTCAGTTTCCTCATAAGCAAGATAGGCACAATAATAATTCCATCAGCTGCCATAGTTGGTCTTTGTGAGGAAAGCACTTTGTGAATTTAAAATACTATAAACTTTGGACTATTATAACAGACACTACTTACCATCCAACTGATGACATTAGCTTCTTTTATAGGTTTTCTCACCTTTAGGTCATCCCATCTTAACACTATAGTTGGGTTAATCTCTGTGTATAGAATTTCTTTTAATTTCAATTAATAAACATTTTCCCCTTCTTCACACTACCCCTACCCAACTGGGAAAAAAACAAGCCAAAAACAAAATCCTTACGAGGAAAACAAATTCCCACACGGGCCATAACTAAAAATTTGTATCTCAACCTTCATATTGAATCCATAACCTCTCTGTCAGGAGGAGGGAGCATATTTTTCATCATTAGTCATAGAATCATGGTTGGTCATTGCATTGGTCGGAGTTCTTAACTCTTTCAAAGTTGTTTGTTTTTACAATGTTGTTGTTATTGTGTAAATTGTTCTGCTTACTCCACTGTATCAGTTCATATGAACTTCCCAGGTTTCTTTGACAGAGCCCCTTCCATCATTTCTTATGTAATTCCACTACATTCCTAGGCCATGATTTGTTCAGCCACTCCCCAACTGGGCACTCTCTTAATTTCTGGTTCTTTGCCACCATGAAAAGAGCCTCATTTCACTTCTCTAAAACAAAAACTTTTAATGGCTCCCTATTGCTTACCAAATAAATGACCAATTCTTTAACCAGGGAGGGACCATTTCTTATTTAAACATTTGAGGGCAAGGAATGCCTTTCACCTCCTTTTGTATCCCCAGCACTTAACAGAGTCCCTGGCGTATAGTAGATGCTTAATGAATGTTTATTGACTGACGGACTGACTGACTGAAAGACTCCTTCAGTACTTCACATAGTTCCTTGCACAGAGTAAATACTAAATAAATAAATAGTGGTTGAATTGTTGGCCTCTCCTAGTTTTGGAATCTTTGCTTTTATGAGCATCTAGGGAGGCTTCAAGAAGGGAGGACTTCATCCTACTCATGTTTTTTCTTACTGCCCACTTCAGTACAAAGATGGAAAGAAGTGGAAACCCAAGCCCAACTACAACAGTGTGGATCTCTCTGAAGTGGAATGGGAAGACCAAGATGAAACTGTGAGTGAGAGAAAGGGAGGGAGAGGGTAGAGCAGCTCAAACATAACAATAACAATGATAACAATAATAATAGCTAACATTCATGTAGCACTTACTATGTTTCAGGCACTGTCCTAAGTGCTTTACAATTATTATCTCATTTGATCCTTGCCTGGGAGGTAGATGCTATTATTATCCCCATTTTACAGATGAGGAAACTGAGGCAAACAGAAATTAATTGATTTGCCCAGAGTCACACAGCTAGTATCTGAGGTCAGATTTGAACTCAGGTCTTCCCGACTCCAGGCCCAGCACTCCACCTGCACCACCTAGCTGCCCCTAACCACAAACCACCTTGTTCACATGCACGCAAGCTTTATAATAATAATAGTAGTTAACATTTATATAGTGCTTACCCTGTGCCAGGCACTGTTTTAAGAATTTTACAATTATTATCTTACTTGATTCTCACAACCTTTGAAAGTAAGTGCTATTATTATCCCCATTTTACAGATGAAGAAAGTGAGGCAAACAGAGGTGAAGAGTCATACAGTTAAATAAGTATCTGAGACCAGATTTGAACTCAGGTCTTCCTGACTCCAGGCCCAGTACTCTATCCACTGCACCACCTCGCTACTCCTAAACATCCACAAACCACCTTGTTCACATGCACACAAGCTCTATGTTCAATCTCTTCCTCTTAAAAACTCCTGTGTGGGAGAACAGGCAGGCAGCAAGTCCTTTTTTTTCCACTTTAAGGCAAAGGGGGCCTAGATATTCTGAATAAAATCTCACAGAAAAAAAAAATGTTCTGAGTTTAGGAGTGGACATTCTAAAGTGTGTGAATGAGAGGTATTGTGATATAGGGGCTAGAACTCTGCACTTGAAGTCAAAAACCCTGGATTCCGATCCTATCTTAGACACTCACTAGCTGTGGGATCCTAGGCACAGCCCTTAATCTCTCTGGCCCTCTGTTTCCTCATGTGTAAAATCAGAATCATCACACTTGCACTACTTCCATCACAGGGTTGCTGTGAGGAAAGTGTTTTGCCAACACTATATGAGTGTAACATGATTGTGAGAATGACGACACCCCGATTTCAGGCCTGATTCTGATTCTGCCACAGACATTTCACATGAATTGGAATCTTTCACTTCATTTCTTGCATTAGCTGTAAAATGGAGATAAAAATCATGCTCTCCTCCTTCTTTCACTGGGTTGTCCAGAGAATGAAGGACAGCCTTTTAGAAGAAAAGATTTATCAAAACCTAAAGTCTGCTTGTTTTCATGAATATAATGAGTAACTCAGTCTATTTCCCCGACACAAGGCATTTTCCCCAAAAGCTAAGCGATTGACCTGGAATCTGTCCAAATGTTTTTTCCAGTTATGGTCTCCTACACTCAGATCCATTCTACAGCTACTGGGGCCATTGCTGGGTCCGGTTAGAAGAGAAGGGAGTCTTTCTTCGTTTCTTTTTAGACCATACTTCTGCCTACCTGGCTCAGCCTTAGCAGTTCAGTGATCTAAAAGGGGAGCACTGAATCTGTGGTCAGATCGGGTTCAAGACATGAGGACATGTACTAGCACAATAGGCAAATCACTCAGACCCTCTGAGCCTCAGTTTTTCATCTGTAAAATAGGGATAACAATATTTAACCAACAATATTTAAGGATTGCTGTGAGGAAAGCACTTTTAAGATGCCATAGAAGTGTGAACTTCTTTGGTATTGTATTGTCTTTATCATGATAAAATATGCTGTTATCATGGCAGAGTGAATAGAGAGCTGGCCTTAGAATCCAGAAGACCTGCGTTCAAGCCCTGCCTCTGACACATATTGGCTGTGTGACCCTGGCAAATTCATTTAATCTCTAAATGCCTAAGTCAGCCGTCTAAGACTTGGTGGTGCTGTGGATAGGGCCCCAGTCCTGGAGTCAGGAGGACCTACGTTCAAATTTGTCCTCAAATACTTGCTAGCTGTGTGACTCTGGGCAAGTCACTTAGCCTTGTTTGCCTCAGTTTCCTCATCTGTAAAATGAGCTGGAGAAGGAAATGGCAAACCACACCAATATCTTTGCCAAGAAAACCCCAAATGGGGTCATGGAGAGTCAGACACAACTGGAACGACTCAATAACAACCACCACAACCAATCTACATTCCTGCAAGTTCTTCAGTGATAAAAACACAAACAAAAATGTGCTGCACATTGATCCATGCTGAAGCAGATCTCTTCTTCCCCTTTCAATCCTTTGCAAGGCTCATGACCTGGATCAGCTATATCCCCCCTTCCTTGGTTCTCTATGCCACATACCCCCAGTTTAAAGTGATCCCTCCCACCGCAGGTTTTTCTAGAACCTTGTCCAAATGTCTCCTTTTTGTCTTCACACCCTCTACCTTGAAGCATAATTATTTGTGTTTTCAATACAATTGCACCATAAAAAAGCTCTTCAAGGGTAGGATCTTTTTCATCTTTATGTAACATGTAACATGTAGTGAGCACTTCATAAATAATTAGTTGAATTGAATTGAATGATTGCAGTGAATTCCAAGAATCCAGAATTGGTTCTGGGTTCCATGTGTAGTGTCTGTCCAGATTAAAGAGAACAGAGACTTCAAATGTTCATCTTCACCTCCACTAAAGTGGGATAGGCAGTATCCTCCACCGTCTCCAGTGCTCCAGTATAAGCCAGGAGATAAATTCCAATGTTTCTCTTCTCCTTGCAGCTGAGAACAGCTATGATCAACGGGGAAACCGGATCTCTCACTATGGATGTGAAAGTTCCTGTGGACAAAGGGGTAAGGTGGTATAAGCAGAGACTTGGAGTCCCAGATGGGATGAGGAATCTTTCCCTACTGGTATAGGGTAATGGGAATAAAATGGACTGGGGTTCTACTCTGCTGAAGTCAGAACACATTTGGAGCATTGCATCCAAGTCCAGACTCCATATTTCAGAAGGCATATCGACTAAATGGAGTACATACTGATGAGGTGGCCATGATTATAAGGAAATTAGAAACCAAGCCCAGTGAAGATTGATAGAAAGAATTGGGTGTGTTTATTTTGGAGAATAGATCAGAATGATGAGACTGTCAAGGAATGCTAGGGAAAACCAAAAAAAATTTAACTATACTAGGGATAAGAGGAAGATGACAGAAAAGACAATATGACTGCTTGGCACTGGTAGAACTATGATTAGAGAAAACAGAAGGAAGAATTACTTAATTCTTTATTTTGCTTCTATTTTCTCTGTCAAAGAAAATAATCTTTGTACTGGTACAGACAAAATAAAAAATGGCTAATAGGGAGTTTAAACCAAAGATAAGAAAAAAGCTAGTAAAAGAAATAATATAGTAATAATCCAGGTCATTCCAAACTACCCTTCTTTCTTTTTTTTTTTTTTTAAATAGGCTGGTAGTACAGGGGAAAGTTGTTGATATAGTTTACCTAAATTTGGCAAAGGTTCTCATGCTGTTCTTATGGTCAAAATAAAAAGATGTAGGCAGATGCCCTTAATGAATTTGTCACTAAGTTCGGCCAAACTACATTCTAGGGTATTAAAAGAACTAGCAAATGTTTTTGCTAAGTCATACATTATCAGAGATCTTTGAAAAATCATGTAGAATAGAAGAGGTGCTGCAGGATGGGAAAAAGGCAAATGTTATCCTGATTTTCAAAAAAAGAAGATGCAAACTATTGGCTAGTGAATTTTACCTAAATTTTTGGCAAAATATTAGACTATATTATTAAAGGGGTAGCTGCTGAACATCTTGAAAAGTAAGCAGTAGTCAAATAAAGTCTCAGTTGGTCTTGCCTTTTTTGCAAGGAAAGTCTCGTAATGGGGTGGATAGGGAAGAGGCTACCTTTCAAAAATGACTGCATTGTATCAAGAAAACTTTAAAAATTGAATTAAAGATTTCAAGAATGTTTACCAGTGGGGCTAGGGGAAGAAAAGGAAGCAATAATCTCTCTCTCTCTCTCTCTCACACACACACACACTCTCTCTCTCTCTCTCTCTCTCTCACACACACACACACACACACACACACACACACACACTAGTTTCACAACACAACAATTTCTTCAAAAACAGGTAATTTAAAATAATATAAATAACCAAGGTTGTTCCAGAATGCCATTATGTCCATTAAAAAAAAAAGAGGTACTAGACTGGTAGGATAGGGAATGGTGTAGAAATAATTTACTTAAATTTGGCAAAGCCTCTCACGCTGTTTGTAGGTAAGAAGGAAAGGTGGAGGCTAGTTATTATATATAGCTATGTTGATTCAGAACAGGTTGAATAGATTCAAAGTTTAGTATCAACTTGGAAGGAGTTGCTCTAGGTACCTCTCCTTAGCCTTGCTTTGTTTAACATTTTTATCGATGACTTGAATAAAATCACAGATGGTCTGCCCATCAAATTTGTAGCTAGAACAAAGCTAGGAGGGAGAGCTAACATTTCATGACAGTGAGGATCCAAAAAGATTTTGACAGGTTAGAATGTTGGGTTGAATTTAATAAAATAAATCTTAATAGGGTTAAATGTGAGTCTTACTCGGGCTAAAAAAATCCATTTCTCAAGTTATAGATGTAGCTAGAAAGTAATTCATCTGAAAAAGATCTTGGGATTCTGGTGAACTGAAAGCTCAGTCTGAGTCAGTGTGATATGACAGACAAAATGGTGTAGACATCAGGCCTAGGTAGGCAATAGTTCAGCTGTACTCTTCTGGTCAGCCAACATTTGCAGCATTTTAATAAGGATGTTGGTAAACTGGAAAGCAGCCAGACCTATAAGGTGGCCTATAAAGTAAGGGGCCTTGAGATTGAAATTGAGATGGGCATGCGCCCATCTAGCTAGTAGATTAACTATCTATTGTCCTTCTGATTAGACTACAACTAGAACACTGTGTTGAGGTGTGGGTACCACATTTTTAAAAGGATATGTTGACAAGCCAGAACATGTCCAAAGTAAAGTATCCTCCACAGTGAAGACTATGCCACATGACAATGCATTGAAGTAGCTAGGGAAGTTGAACCTGGAAAAGATAGGAATTAAGGGAGACATGATAACTGCCTTCAAATATTTGAAAGACTGTCACATGGAAAAGAAATTAAACTTGTTTTACTTTGCCCCAGAGAGCAGAACTAGGAGCAGTGGGCAGAAGCTGCAGAGAGGCACACAGGTTTAATTTAAAGATAAAGTTCCTAACAGTTGCGGTGGTGTTAGTGGTGGTTCAGTCCTTTCAGTCACGTCTAACTCTTTGTGACCCCATTTGGGGTTTTCTTCGCAAAGATACTGGTGTGGTTTGCCATTTCTTTCTCCAGCTCATTTTACAGATGAGGAAACTGAAACAAATAGGCTTAAGTGACTTGCCCAAGGTCACACAGCTAATAAGTGTCTGAGGTCAGATTTGAACTTGGGTCTTCCTGACTCTTTCTCTCCTGGCTCTTTCTTTCCACTGCCCCTCCTAACAGTTAGAGTTGTCTAAAAGTTGAATGGGCTGCCTTGGTAGGTAGCAGTTTCCCCTCTCACTGGAGTTTTTCAAGGAAAGACTAGTTGTAGAAGGTATTGCTGTATTGGTATTGGTTAGGACTCTGAAGTCCATTCCAATTATGAAATTCTGTGAATCTGTGGCATAACTTTCAGACACTAAAGTCACTAATATATCATGATGAGGCATCAGAATAGAACTTTAGCATTATGCTATTTATATAAGTATTGTATTCACTATAACCATAGAGAATTATGATTTGACCTCTTCATTAACACCCACCACATAGTATCATTGTGGGAAAGCCCTTTTTGAACTTTAAACACTGTATGAATGTGAATGATTGGTATATTATAGTTTTGGTAGCATTGAACATCATTTAAAGAAATCATTAATCTCTGTTCTTACCTCTTCTTCTTTTTTTTTTCAATCTACTCAGCCCACAGAATTTGTATTGGTCCTTCCCAACATCTCCCCTCCCCCCAGAGCTATTCTTGTCTCCTCCTCCTCCTCCTCCTGCTTCCCATCTGACTAAGCTAAAAGAGCACAAGCATCTGCCTGCAACAATTAGACTCAAAGTTCCTCCACAAACATATTTTCATGAAAGGCAAACAAAAAAATAGTAGGGAGGAAAGAAATTCTTTTTAAACCCATGCCTTCATTTTCACTTGGTCTAGCATCTGAATTCTGCAAGCTCTTCCCTTTACCTACACCAGGTAGGCTGGGAAAATTCCTCTGCAAGCAGCTGAGCTCCCCTAGGGTCTGATTTCCACGGACCTCAGACCAGCTGCTTTGGGTTCCCCCACAACAGGCTAGACAAGGCAATCTTACCTTTTCCTTGCTCTGTTCCTATAAATTCAGTTTCCAGCTAGAGGCAAGGGCACAAGGGATTAGGGTCCACAGTCTTGCAAATACCCACATACCTATGAATAATTGTCCACAATGTGTGAGGAGCCATTGAAAGAACAGGTGGGTCTCTTTATTTCATCAATCCCCAGTACCCCATTTCTACTTTCAGTCTTTTTATTTCATAAATTCCCAATACCCCATTTCTGTTTTTTAAATCAAGGTTATTTGTTTTGGGAAAATTATTCTTTGTATTTTAAAATAGTTTGTTATTTTTTTTTTCATTTAGCAAGCATGTTTTTTTTTTAAATTTAATCTGTCAAGACAAGTTGAAATCCAACCTCAGACACTTACTAGCTAGGTGACCCTGGACAAGTCACTTAATCTTTGCTTGTTTTAGTTTCCACAACTGCAAAATAGGAATAATAATAACACCTACCTCGCGGGGTTATTGTGCAGATCAAAAAAAAATTTGTAAAGCCCTTAGCACAGTACCTGGTACATAGTAGGTGCTATATCAATACTCATTCCCTTCCCTTCCACTCACTACTATCTCAATTAAGCAATTTTTTTTAAATATAAAAATAAAGGCCTAAAGGCATAGCTGCAAAATAATTAATAACTTTATCTATCTTGCTTTTTTTAGTTCAGCTGAAACATTATAGATTTTGCTCCAGGATCTCATTTGAACTCTATATGACTCTCTGTGTTTCAAGTGTGTTTCTTACAAACAACACATTATTAAATTCTGCTTTCTAATTCATTCTACTATCTTCTTTCAAATCTTTTTAATTTATCATCTTCCTCTATGTTATGGGTGAGTTCATCCATTCACATTCATAGTTATGATTATTAATTGTATATTTCCCTGTATCCTGTCCCTTTGTACTTTTTCCTGTCTTTGCTTTCACCTCCCTCTTTATAAAGAAGCAGGTGGGAGAAGACAGTTTGCCTGATGCTTATGATCTCATAAGTGAAACCGTCTGCTTCCTCCTTGTTGCAGCTCTTCTTTTCTCCTTACTCTGCCCCTGATCTCTTTCTTCCTCCCTTTTAATTCTCCCTTCACATTCTTCCCTTCGACATTTGAGTTTGTTCGGTTTCTTCTCTCACCTATCCTACCTTCCCCCTTAGACCTTTTCTCTGCTCCTCTCTTGTCCCTGTCCCTTTCTAACTCCCTTTGGAGTTTAATGTATTTCTACAATGAAATCTTTGTATATGTATGTGCAGGTGTGTTTGTGCTCACAGAAGTTCCCCATGTGGGTGATACCACACTTGGGGGAACTGAAATGATCCAGGGGGGCGGTGGTAGCCTTGGGTACAAATGGGGAGTGTTGAATAAAAATAAGGGGGCGGCAGAAGCATAAGGAAAGAAGAAAAGATAAGAAAATTTTATAAAACCATTCGTACATGTTTCATCTGTTGTGTAACAGAGTTAAAGTCATAGTGATTACATTATTTTCCAAAATGCAAGTTATAACCCATCAGTGGTCAAGTCCGCAGACAGGTCTTAACAAGCAGGTGTTGGCAGACAAGCATGTAGCACATTGTCAGGAAGTCCAGCATGCATCAAGCAGTAATATGTGTGTGTAATGACTTGTTTACAATACAGTACTATATGGTTACATGATACAATATTGCATCATCGAAATTTCAATACAGGGAAAAAAACCCACAAATTCATAATAAATTGTCTAATTTAATATGTATAATTTTTAAAAAATATGTTCTATTTTTTTAAAATGATGCAAATTTTTAAAAAACAAGCTAAAGGGTTAAAAGAAAGTAGATTTCCAGGGGAGTGCTGAGTAATTTTTTAAAAAGGGAGCAGTAGGCCAAATAAGTTTGGGAACCTCTGCATCTGATTCAGATTACAGCGAGGTTCATGGGACACTTGTTCCCCTCATCCCTTCCTCCATTAATATATGCTTATTCTCCATCTTATGCACTTTCTTAATATAATAGTGATTTTTCTTCCCTTCTTCCTCCTTTCCTCCCTAATATAGTCCCATGGACCTTCCATTTTTGTCTTCTCCCAAAACCATCTGCACAGAACAAAACAACCCACATGCTCTCTATAATTTTAACTTTTCCCCATGACCCTAAAAGACATTAAGGTTCTCTAATCTCCTTATTAAAATAGGAACACTTCATCCCCACATATTTCTGTTTGATTAAACAAATATGTATACCTTTCTATGTTTCTCTTGGCACTTGCATTTCCATTTTAAAATATCTATTCAGTTCTGACCAGAATGCTTGGAAACGTCTTCTATTAAAAGTCAGTTTTCCCCCTGTAGGATTATACTTCATTTTGCCAGATAGGTAATCTTTGGTTTAAACCTTTATCTCTTACCTTTGCAATATCATATTCCAAGCTCTCCTCATCTTTTCAGTGGCAGCAACTGGGTCTTGTGTAATCCTTATTATGGCTCCTTGGTATTTAAACTACTTTTTGGCAGTTTTATAGTATGTTTTTCTTTGACCTAGAAGTTCTGGATTTTGATTGAGATGTTTCTGGGAGTTTTCATTTTGCATTTGATTTCTGAGGATAACTGGTAAATTTCTATTTTCATTTTGCCTTCTGGGTCTAAAAGTTTGAGAAGTTCCATTTATAATTTCCTAAAATGTAGTATCCAGACTTTTTTCTGATCATGATTTCCAGAAAGTCTGATAATTCTTAGATTATCTCTCCTTGACTTGTTTTCCAAGTCAGTTGTTTTTGATATTGCACTCCTAGATGTTCTTCTATTTTTCAATATTTCATTTTATTTTGATATTTCTTGTTGTCTTATTGAATCTATTTCTATCCGGATTAGTCTAATTTTTAGGGCATTCAGTTCTTGAGTGAGGCTTTCTACCATCTGTTTTAAGATGTCAGTTTTCCTTGCCACTCTTTCCTCCCTAGTTTTTCCATTCTGAATTTCTTGTTTCATTTCCTCCAGGCATTCCTGTAGTCCCTGTGGCCAGGGCATTTTTTTTTTCTGATTCTTTACCTGGACTTGCTGTGGAGTTGCTATCCTCTGTAGGGGATTACCTCTAGCCATCTCTCAAACCAAAGAATTTCCTCACAGTGGTCAAAGTTTTCCTTGGTTTGCTCATCAAAGACCCTATCCTTGGGCCCCCAAATGAGCAGTGGCAGAGCTTGTATAGTCCTGAGTACACTGGGCCAGACTAGGTCCCCACTTCAAAGGACTTAGCAGCTCCAGTGCCAGGCAAGGACCTGGGGGCCCTTGTCATAGGCTTTAGGATTTCTCCCTGCTAAAGTTTCTGTCTTGGGTCCTTTCTCCCGCTGCTAAGCTAAGAGGCTACTTCCAATGCTGAGCTCTTGCTACAGGCTTCAGGGACTGTCAGGGCTGTATTTTGTCTAGGACCTTTCTAGGGCTCAGGGCACTGGTATAGTGATAGAACCTACATGGAACACCCCAAAGCTGCTCTCTTTGCTAGGTTAGGGATGAGTTAGGTGCTGTTGGTATTGAGCCACAGGCTCTATTTGGCTCTGATTGGAAATGGGCTCAGGCAGCCAGCCAAGGGCTTGGGGAAGACTGGGCTCCAGTGATATTTGGCTCAGGCAGGAAGTGCCATGCTGGAACCACCCAGAATTCCCTAAAGTTGCTCTTCTGCAGCCAAGGCTTGCTTGATTACTGCCAAGAAACAAGGAGTTCTGAGACTACCCTGATAGTTCCAGGGCTCCCCCTTGCCTTGTCCTCTGTGCTTCACTCTCAGCCTGCCCCAGCTTCCCAACACCCCCTTTCTCTTAGTGATTCTTTTGCCTTTCTTTTGCCATTTTCAAATAATATCTGAAACATGACTCAATCACTCCCCTGGGGCATATGATAGGATCGCCTCCTTCCCCATTCCTTTCACTTCTCCTACTCTATCTGGTGAGAAGAAATACTGGGATAGATAAACCAAAAGGAGAAATACTGGGATACACAAACCAAGAGGAGAAATACTAGAATAGATGAACCAACCAATAGATGAACCAATACAAAAAAAGAATGTAAGAGGGTAAGCTTGTACAAATTTGATCCTGGTTTTATCTGAAGCCAATTTCCCAGAAATCTAAATTTAGCAGACTGAACCTTCCTCCTCCTTATCTTTCTTCCACTCCTTCTGGGTCCTTTCTAGAACTTTGTTCCAGGGAGTGAGAGAGAAGGACCAGACGAAAGTAACACCAAGGGGTGAATTGTGGAATTGTGTAGAGAAGAGAGTACATCTCCTGAGTAAGCTTCAGGGTTTGGCCCTCTGCATTATTTCCCACTAAGCAAATTGCAAATGTATACCAAAAAGGTTTTTTTTTTAAATGGATAAGACTTTGGGGATACAAGGCACGGCACAAATCTCACTGCCTCCTGCCAATTCTCTCTCCCAGAATTTTTATATAGGGGAAATGTGGTCAAACTGATTATCAAAGACAGAAGCTTTGAATGAAAAAAAAAAAATCTCAAAAGGACAACCTGTACAAGATGGGTATCTAGCAGAAGAAAGGAGCTATTTAGCCAGTTTCCCTTGGTGAAGGTATATAGAAGTGGATTTACAGGCTGGTTCTGTGTATATATAAGCCCCAGGCATTTTTAGCATTTAATAGGAGCCACTTCATATGCTCATCCTAACCCCATGTTCCATCTCTGTCTTGCTGCCTAGTGAGCTAGTCTCAGAAAATAAGCATAAAACCCCACTTCCCTGTCAGAGATGGGAGTGATGGCTCCTGAGATAGTTTCTGGCTATGCAGTTTCAAGATGATCAGAGCCGCTAAGGGATAGAAGTTGGAGAAATGGGAATAAGGTGGGGGAGGGAGAAGGAAGGAAAGATGAGAAAACAGAGGATTTTCCAGTCTCTTCAGTTGTCAGAATCCTCTGGGTATTTTGCAAAAAGACATGGTTCCAATCAATCAGCTTGTATCCACACTGAAACAAACTCCATTTTCTCCTCTCTTGTTGCAGAGGCGTGTTCTCTTCCTCACCAATGATTATTTCTTTACAGGCATCAGTGACACCCCTTTCAGGTGAGTTGAATGACCCATGCTAGGACAGATGGCACTGCAATGTGTTGAAGTGACATTGGAAGGATTCCTAGCTTAACAAGGCAGAATGATGTAGGGGAAAGAACAATGAAGGGGGAGTCAGACTGGTCTTTCTCCGGTCCAGGTTTCCCAAACGCTAGCCCTCATTTAGTATCTCTGGCCCCCAGTTTCTTCATCTATAAAATGAAAGCATTGAGTTTGCATCTTTGAGCTCTTTTGTGCTTCCAAAAACCCACAAGGATGCTAGGTTTCATGTAGACTTAATGAATGAAAAAATAATTTTCTCTCTGACTTGTTTTCTCTAGAACCTCCTCATTATTTATGAACAAATTATCAGTTATCTGTAATGCTTTTGGATGGTAGAGATGTTAGGTACAACTACCATATCTATCTTATTAGAGTGGCACTGTATTTATATATCAGTGAGAACTTGGAATGAGATGAAGTTAAGGAATAACAGGGGTGAAGAGAGCCTGTGAAGTGTCAGTTGAGGTTTCCTTCAGAGGAGGACAAAGTCAGATTGAGTTGTAGGGGAAGGAGGCAGAAGATAGGTGAGATTTTTTTTAATAGACAACTTACTCAATTTGGGTTCTTTCTGTGGGATCCTCAGTAGGTATTCTCTAATGTAACAAGGGAATGGGGGTTCCTAGGTAAAAAGATTGTCAAGTGCCTTTATCTAGAAAAGGAAGAGGTGGAATCATGAAATGGGTGGAGGAAGAGTGTGAAGTTTTGGGGGGTGACTATTTTAGTTCTTGAGCCAAAGGTAAAGAAAATTCATAGGGTGAGAAAAGAAGGGGAGAGGTCTCATAACATGGAGGATAGAAGGCCAGCCTTGGAAAGAACTTCATGCAAGTTCCGCTTCTGACACATCCTCTGAACAAGTCCCTAAGCCTCCCCATGCCCCAGGAAACTCTAACATTGTAAGTTATGGAGGAGTTGTTGATCTTCACTGGTGGTGGTAGTTTCTACACTTGGAATTCCCCACATGGATGAAGTCACAGGTCCAGACTAGAAAAATAGTGTGGGTTGGACTAGGTGACCTCTTATGTCCCTTCCGACTCTGAATTTCTATGAAATAGGCATGGAAGACTAGAGGCTATTTGATGCTGATGAATAACAATTTCCTTTGCTCTTTGATGCAGTCTAGGAATGGTGTTGTCCAGAGGCCATGGAGAATACATCCTCCTGGGAAATACTTCAGTGGAGGAAGGTGGGTCAAAGCAATGTTTACTTCTTTCTTTCCTTCATTTCTGGAATAATGGACAGAGTCAGCCCTGGGGTAAACAGATTTGGCAGCCCCCCAGAATTTCCTGCTTTGGAACAGCTTCTAAGAACAGTGACTGTCTAGTGAGGAGGTATCTGCAAGCTTCATGATATCTGGGTTACCAGGACACGAAGAATCAGTCAGCCAGCCAGGCAACACAATTGATTAAGCACAAGGCTTGCCAATTGTCAATAGTCCAAATCCGTGAGATTTGAGGAAGACAGAATGTTACATATAAGAAGTAAATTGTTGAAGGAGTATGCCTTCCTCTGAGCTTCCATGGAAAATAGTTCTTATTCCATCATTTAAATCTATTATCCCAAATTTGAGGGGTTGAAACAAATGGGGGAAAGGAGGTAGAAAAAAAAAGAAAGGAGGTAGGAAAGAGAGAGGCAAGAAGAGGGAGAGAGAGTGATAGACAGAGAGAAAGAGAGACGGAGACAGAGAGAAATAAAGAGAGGGAGAGATAGATAGGCAAAGGAGAGGTGGAAGAGGGGAGAGAGAGAGAGAGAGAGTGTATAACCTAGTAGACAAGGAAGAACCCTCTTTAGCTCGGCTTTACCACCCCTGGGAGGATGGTGGTACCATCAACAGAAATAAAGAGGTTTGGAAAGGGGAAGGTCTTTTGGGGAAAAGAGTTCAAGACATGTTGAGTTTGAGGTGTCTGTATGTAAGGTGGACTTTTGTTCCAACAAATCATTTTTTTAAAAAATCAATAACCAATAAGCATAATGGGATCTTAAAACGTCTGCATCTTTGTTAATTCTGGAATAATAAACATTTAATCCATTTTAACTATTTTTTTATGAAAGGCTGCTTAGTCTCTATTACTACTTTCATGTACTAACTGCTACCTTGATTCAGATATCATAAAAGGTTCCATATAACTTGAAGAGTAGGCCTAGAGGTCAATAGTTATTGATGTGTTCTCTTCCTAGTCACCTTTCTTAAGTATTAAGGAATAATTTTTTTTACATTTTTGGTATATTTCCTTCCTACATATTAGTCCTTCAGTGCTAACACAATTAGGTCACCTCTAAAATATAGTATCCAGATCTCCTCTACATACACTTGGTCCAATCCAACTGTTTTTCCATCTTTGTTCTCTTTAGAGACTTTTCTATCTCCTCTATATCCAGGAATATAATGTTGGGGTCCAAATTTAGTGATTCCACTGTCTTTGATGGAGAACAAAGTATGTTATGATGATTTTTGCAAATCTTTTCCATTTTCTCTGACAAAAGGTAGCCATTCTATATATGCACTAGATCCCATCCCTTGCCATCTTCTCAGAGATGGAAAACCTTTATTAGACCCAATCTTTCCCTTATACTATTGTCCTATTTCCTTCCTCCATTTCTTAGCCAAGCTACTTGAACAAGCTAGTTAACACTCAGTGCCTCCACTTTTTCTCCTCTCACTTACTCCTCAACCCTTTACAGTATGGCATCCATCATCACCACTAAATTGAAACTTCTATCCCCAAAGTTATCAATAATATCTGAGTTGTCAAATATGGTGTTCTTTTTTAGTCCTCATCCTCTTTGGCTTATCTCCTGCATTGGATGCTTTTGGCCAACCTCTCCTCCCAAATACTCTCCTCTCTGGGTTTTTTGTGACATTACTCTCTCCTGGTTTTCTTGTAGTCCTCTGTAACCTCTCTTTCTCTGTCCACATCCTATCCCCTAACCATAGTTGTCCCTCAAGGTTCCATCCTAGGCCTTCTCCTCTTCTCCCTCTATACTCGTTACTAGTAACTTCCCCAGCCCCCATCATTTTTATGAAGATGACTTGCACATCAATATAGCCAGTCCCAGTTTCTCCCTTGACCTTTAGCCTAGAACAGCAGTTGCTTATTGGATGTGTCAAACCGTATATCTTGAAGACCTCTTCACACGTCCAAAACTGATCCATTTATTTTTCTCCCCCAAGCCCTCTTCTCTTCCAATCTTCCCTATTTCTGTTGAAGGCACCATCATCCTTTCAGCCTCCAAGGTTCATTAACCTCAGTGTTTTTCTTAGCTTCTCATTTTTCCTAACCATACATATCCAATCAGTTGCCAAATCCTTCTATTTCTGCTGCAGCAACATCTCTTGCATCTTACCCCTTCTCTCTCTTCACACAACTACCACCTAAATTTAGGCCCTCATCTCTTCTTGATTATTGCAACAGCCTCTTTGGTTTCCTTGTCTGAAGTCTCTCGCTACTCAAGTCAATACTGCTAACAAAGTGATTTTCCTTAAGCATAGATGTGACCATGTCATTCTCCTCTTTTATCAACTGCATGGTCTCCCTACTGCCTCTAGGATAAGATAACCTCATTGTTTATCCTTTAAAGACCTTTAAAGCCTGGCCTTAACTTGTCTTTCCAGCCTTATTGGATATTATGTCCTGCCCCCCTCTCCTGCTCTCTGTGATCTAATCAAACTGTCCTCCTCTCTGCTCCTCTCAAATGATACTTCACTTCCCATCTGCATGCCTTTGCATGGGCCCCAGTAATGCACTTCCTCCTTATCTCCACCTCACGGAGACCATATCTTCCTTTGAGAAGTAGCTCAAACATCATCTTCTGCATCAAGTTTTTCTTGATCCTCCCAACTGCTAGTGTCCTTGCTTTGTATATATTTACATTTATTTACTTTGTATTTATGCTGTATCTACTGATGTGTGTACTTCTTATCTCCTCCAATAGAATTTTAGCTCCTTATGAATAGGGATTGTTTTATTCTTTGTATTCACAGTACCCAGTGCAGTAGGAGCTCAATAAATGCTTGTTGACTGGTTGATTTTCTCCTTCTGTTTGTAGATCTTCTACTTTCATCATTAAATGCTCTTGGAATGGCTTTGTTTAGTGAGCTATATTGCCTGGCTTTACTTTCCATTGCTTCTCACCCTTATCGGATGTCTTATGGCATGTTGAGTTTAGTAAATAGTTTAAGAAGGACACTGATAAACTGGTCCAGAAAAGGGCAACCGTGATGTTGAAGAGCCTTGAGGCCAGAACATATGGAGATTGGTTGAAGGAATTGAGCATGTTTGGTATGGAGGCGTAAAGATTCTGGGTATTTAAATTGCTGTCATATGAAGGCAGCATAGTGCTTAACTTGGAGTCAGAAAGACCTGAGTTCAAATCCAGCCTCAGACAATTAATTGTGTGACCCTGAACAGATCATTTAACCTTTGTTTGCTTTAGTTTCCCCATCTGTAAAATGAGAATAGTAATAGCACCTACTTCCCAGGGTTGCTATGAGGACAAAATGAGATAATATTTGTAAAGCACCTGGTAATAATTATATGAAGTTAGTGTAGTAAATGGAGTGCCAGGCCTGGAATCAGGGAGAACTGAGTTCAAATCCATTCTCAGACACTTACCAGCTGTGGTGGGCAAGTAAGTCACTTAGCCCTACTTGCCTCAATTTCCTTATTGTAAAATGATCTAGAAAAGCAAATGGTAAACCACTCCAGTATCTTTGCCAAGGAAACCCCAAATGGGTTTAGTGATGATGATGGATGCCATACTGTAAAGGGTTGAGGAGTAAGTGAGAGGAGAAAAAGTGGAGGCACTGAGTGTTAACTAGCTTGTTCAAGTAGCTTGGCTAAGAAATGGAGTCAGACATGACCAAAATGACTGAGCAGCTGCAACAGCTATATAAATGCTAGTTGTTATTATTATTAATGGAGGGATTAGATTTGGCCCCAGCAAGTTGAGCCAGTAGCAAAAAAGGTGAAAGACCCAAAAAGACAAAGGGAGGTTTAATGTCAGGAAACATCAAAGAGTCAGAGCTGCGGTGAACAGGCTGCCTGGAGAGGCAGGGTGTCCCCTTCCTTGGTGACCTTCAAGCAGAGACCGGCTGGCCGCTGGTCAAGGATGTCATCACGCAGATCACTTTCATGTGTGGGCTGGACTCGACGGCGGCCCAGGTCTCTTCAAACTCGCGGTCTGTGGTCAGATTATCATTATTTCTACCTCACATGGTTAGGTTGGTTAGTGTGGCTGGTTCGGAGGTTGTACTGAGAGTAGTCCTTTCGGTATTGTTTGTGTGTGCTCGCATTAGCGGTTTTCCTACTAGGATCTTTCTAAGCTACATGTTCATTTTATATGGGTTAGTTCAGTTAAAATTGCATAATGTGATCTGTAAATCTGCTTAATTGGCAGTACGTCCGTTCTGATGCATTATGGCACACTGGAAGGGAGCCAGTCTTACCTTTCTAGCCTTATGTGACGTTGGTCTCTTTCACACACTCCGCGCTTCAGGCAAACTACGTTACTAATTACTCCTTAAATTCTGCCTCCCATGCCGGGCATAGTCTCTTCATCTGAGCCCATTGGAATCATTATCAGTCAGGCAATCAATAAATATTTATTAAGTGTCTATTATGTGCCAAGCACTATGCTGAGCATTGGAGATACAAAGAAAGGTGAGATTCAGTTTAATCAATTAACACCCATTTATTAAGCACCTATTTTTGCCGGGAACCATGTGAGGCACTGGGAATACAATGACAAAAATGAAGCCACCTCCATCCTTAAGGAGTTTATAAATTATTGGTGGAAAGAATATGTACATTTACGAGAACATAAAATAAATATATGTATTATTATATAATACTATAATAAATATATTGTAATAATATATTATAAATATAACAAACATCTATTATATTTAAGACTAAATATACTAATATTCAAGATAATGGATAATAATATGTAAGAATGAATATAAAGTCATTTGCAAGGGAGTCATCAGTACCCAGAGTGATAGCTCAGATGCCGTCTCCTCTATGAAGCTTGCCCACATAGGGTTTATGTGAGGCTTCAATGAGACACCGTATATTAAATATTTTGCAAAATTTAAAGTACTACATAAATGTCAATTGTTACTGCTGTTGCTCTTTAGTTTTTAATTCTCATCTTACTTACAGAATTGAGATAAAAAAAATCTGGTCTAGGTCTACACATAGATGGGCTAGTGCCATCCTCAAAGTTGAGTGGAATAACTGGGTCCAGGGAAGTGTGTGTGTGTGTGTGTGTGAGTGTGTGTGTGTGTGTGTGGGTGTGTATGTGTGGAGAGAGAGAGTGGGGGGATCTCAAGATCAGGTCCAGGGACTAACTATTCCAGGTGGGAATAGGCAGAGAAGTAGAAAGGCAGATGAATAGATGCTAGGGAATCCCTAATTCGCTGGATGGGATGTGAAAATCATCTGGGCCTGCTAGATACAATGGGTTAGGTGAATTTCTGCTCAGTCATTCATCAGTCAAGTTACATTTGATAAATCCAATGATATATAGCTTTGTAAAGTGAGAGATCTGTATTTTCCAAAAGTGTTGGTGTGTGTATATATGGAAAATATATATGTGCATGTGCATTTATAAGAATATATATATATATGCAATATAGACAATGCATATGCATATTCTACACACACACACATATACACGTAATACTTCTTTGCCAGTTTTGTGTTGGCAAGTGAATATTGCCCATAGAGGGCCTTTTGATTCAACTCTTCGATCTTAGACATTTTATAGGGTCCATCCAGTGGTAAAAACCACCGTCAGTTATATTTCACAAATACAACAAAGACTTGTATCAGAGAATCTATTTCTCAGCAAAACTGTGTTTGCTTGTTCTAAAAGTATTTCTGCAAGGTTTTAACTTATATACGTTAAGAAAGTCTGTCACTACTCTTTCTCCTTTTTGGCAATTAGATGTTAGTTTTTCTATAACTGCCCTCAGGTAACTTGTTAATATTGTATAGGTTTTCGTTAGGATACTTTTGAAATTTTTTATTGCCCATTTTGTACCTTCAAAGGTATACATAAAGACTGTGTTAATTGCTTTAAAAGAATTCATCCCATTAAGCTTTGATTTCAGGGACCTGGCAAATCTTTTAATTAAGTCACAGCTTTCATCTTCATAACTTTATGCTCAGGGTGCCTTGCTTAAAGGTATTGCCTATACACACACACACACACATACACATATACACAACCAATTATATATATATAGTGTATATATAAACACATATACATATATACATACACACACACACATATATATACACATTGATTCAATGTAATCTTACATTAGGTTATGTTAGAATGTAAACCCCATGAGGACAGGGACTACTTTATCTTTTTATCCCTGGTGCTTAGTGTACATAGGATACACCTAATAAAAGCTTAATTACTCAATGTGACTTCCAGATTCAAGCTCGAAGCTATTATCATCATCATTATTATTATACTTTCACTGAAACCTGCAGTGAAAAAATATTTTGTTCCTCTTCGGATTTTCCTGTAACACTTTGTGAAGATGCCTCCTTTGCCTTCATCACTCCCTACTCTGTTTTCTACTTTTCTGTGTATATGTTGCTCAGCATCCTCTACCTCACTAGATGTCAGTCCCTTGAAGGAAGAGACTGTCTTTTTTGTCTTTTTATCCCCATTGACTACCACGGTGCCTTGAACCATTTAATAGATGCTTAATAAACTTTCCTTGAATCAGTGAGTGGGTCAGTGGAATTATTTTCCTAAAATAATTCATTTCCCTTCCCCTCTTCCTTTTCCCTTTTCTTATACTGTGTGAATTCTCATTTCAGGATTGCATGACTTATTACAACCAGATCTGACTCTGGCCAATGAGTGGTAAGTAAAATAATGCTAGTGAAGCTACTGAACACCAGGGGGTTGGAGGAGGAAAAAGGAGAAGATGGAATTTCTCTGGGCAAGCCCCATTTTCCTATATTCCAGGATTTACTGTATCACAGATATTGACCCAGCTCATCGGAAACTCAGCCAGATGGATGCCATGGTCCAGTTTCTGACCAGCAAAGAGCCTGATCTAGAATGTGAGTATTAAGAAACTCTGAAACCAGAGAATAGTAATCCCTCACATTTCTATACTTTTCTCCCCAAACCCTTGTTAGGTTGCAAAAAGCATTATTTGTGCCCATTTTACAGATAAGGAAATGGAGGCTCATAGAAATTACTCAATGAACATATTAAGTGCCTACTACGTTCCAGGCACTGTGCTAGGTGCTGGAAGTACTAAGAAAGAAAGAAAAAAGTCCCTGTCCTCAAGGAGCTTACATTCTACTTGAGGAGACATATACACATACATACACACATACATACTTACATACATATATATATATATACATACACATAATATAGAATAGAGATTGGACCTATAATTTTATTTTTATTGAGAACTTCCAGATGAGGAAATTTCTTCTACCAATTCGTGTTGACACCTTCTCTGCAACTTACAGTCTTAGAAGGTCACCTAGAGCTCTAAGTAAGAGGTTAGTGCCTTGCCCAAGGTCACACTGCCAGTATGTGTCAGAACTGGATCTATGGACAAAATGAACACAAGCTAATTGGGTGGTGGAGGTGACAGTGAACAGCAAGAGAAGGGATGAGAAGCTGTGGGGATCAGGAAAGGCTTCACACAAAGGGTGTCCCATGCTCTGAGTCTTGCAAAAGAATAGAGAGACCCAGATGAGAAGGGAATGCATTCCAGATATAGAGGAGAGTCATTTCAAAGGCAGAGATGGGAGATAAAATGTCATCTCCAAGAACCAGTTCAGCTGGACTGTGTGTGTGCATGAAAGGGAATGATGTATAATAAGGATGGAAAGGTAGGCTGGAACCACATTGTGAAGGATTTCAAGTGCTAAAAAGGAGAGTTTATATTTGGTCCTAAAAATAATAGGCAGCCACTGGAGTTTAGAAGCACACATACAGAACCATTGCTGTCACAAAATGAAACAATATCAGAATTATTGCTTGTCTGAAATAATTTGTACAATAATCATTGATAGTGATGATTAATTAAACCCATTAGAGGTGATGAGGTCACAAAGTGAGAGTATATAGAGAAAGAAGAGAATAGGTTCAAGTAGGGCAGCTAGGTGGCCAATGGATAGAGCATCGGCACTGGAGTCAGAAGGACCTGAGTTCAAATCTGGCCTTAGACACTTGACACTTACTAGCTGTGTGACGCTGGGCAAGTCACTTAACCCCTATTGCCTCACCAAAAAAAAGGAAAAAAAAGATAAAGAAAGAAAGAATAACATCAAGGACAGAATTTTGAGAGGATGCCCATACTTAGGGATTGAGAAATAAATGGTGATACAGCAAAGGATCAGTCAGGAACAGTCAGAAAGAGAAACAACATAGAACGGTTTCGAAAAAGACAAAGAATAAACAAGTATTCAGGAGAAGTAGCTCCTTTCTTTCACTGAGGCCTCCCTTCTCATGAAGATAGTTTTAGGAAATCATACTTAGATGCACATGATAAGAATTCACACTTGTAAGTTATGTCCTCCGGATGCTAACTACTACCCCAGGTTCAAAGTACTCTGTGGGTCAACACTGCTAAACTATAGATTATGAGCTCCCAGTGGTGATAATAGTCAGCCAATAGATCAAATTGGCTCAAAACAAAGATATTTACCAAGATGGCCTAATAAGAATAATAGCTTCCCTCTCAATTATTTCCTATTTAGCCCGTATGTAGCTTGTTTGTATATACTTATTTGATTGTCTCCCACATTAGACTGTGAGCTCCTTGTGGGTAGGGACTGTCTTTTGCCTATTCTTAGCACAGTGCCTGGCACATAATAGGCACTTAATAAATGCTTACTGACTGACTGACTAGTTACAAAAGACCCAAATACACACAGCATCATTGAGAAAAATGATAACATACATAGAATACCCTGATAATGAGGCACCCATATGGGGAACAAATGTTTCCCTCCTTACCTGTTGCTGTCTGGTAAAGAGAGTACAAAGGGAGAGGCAAAAATTAGTGGGTTCTTCCTCCATAGGTAGCTTTGTAGACTGCCAGAGGTTACATTCTTTGAAGCTGCTTCCATATCTACTCTCTCTAGGGTTGGCAAGCTAGCTTTTTAAAAGCCATGTAGGGCATGGCCAATCTTGAGCCAGTCAACAGTCAGTCGTCCTAATTCTATAAGGAATGGCTTAATATCACATAAAAGATTAACGATGTGAAGACCCTTATTTGCCCTTACTTTAAGGCATTAACTCCTTGCTGTCTGTTACCTGTTCTGTCATTTCATCAGCTGAACTGATGTCCTGATTGGGGATTGATTAGGGATGTCCTGATCAACCACATACACACACATGTACTATATGAAAAGTCCATTAGAATGGGACTCAGGAACCCTGGTTTCCAGTCCCTTTTCTGCCACTAGCTTCCTGCATGATCTTGGGCAAGGTTCTTCACCTACCTGGGTAAAATGAGTACACTTGACTAAATGATCTATAAGGTTTTCTGTTCTATAAGATGGAGCTGAGATTATTCTGGCCTAACCTAGCCATTCTATTCTTACTTCCTAAATTAAAGGGAAACCTCTGGAAAAAAAACAAGAAGAGGCTATGGCTTTGGGCAGGATGGGCAGGATGGTGGATGAGAACAGAGAATGATCTAGTCTCCTTTTACTTTGTGAACTGGTGATTTTACTTACTGTAGGTGATGAGGAACTGGTGCAAGAGGTCCTGTTTGATGCCGTGGTGACCGCTCCAATGGAAGCCTACTGGACAGCTTTGGCCCTTAACGTATCTGAGTAGGTCCTGGGAAGAGATGTGCAGACCCAAGCAAGACCTCGGGGATATTGCAGGCTCCCAAGACCAAGCATGCCTTAGATCAGGGCCTCCTACCCATCTGGTTGCTCAGAAAATCATTCATATCCTCTTAGCTTGCCCCCATTATAAATAATGATAGGGGCAGTAGGGTGTGGAAGTATCTCCCACTTATCAGGTTGAACAATTTTCTAGGATTTCAGACCTCCTACACAAAGTTCTCGGGTGCAATCATCCATATCCTTTAACGATGCAAAAAGTACACATTGCCCCTCAAAGACCACATGCCCAACTATCCTCTGGGGTGATTCTTTCTGGAAGTCGGTAAAAGATATGGGCTGGCCTCTCTGTGTCCCATTCCTGAATCAATTATAAGAGCTCCTTTGGCCACAGGGCCCCAGAAAGGTAAATCTAAACAGCCTGAAGAACTGTTTCCAAATCTGAAGGGGCTCTTCAATAAGCTGTGAAGATGTCTTTAGCACTCCAGGTTTCCTCAGAAAATATTTTACAGTTTTGACCAGAGAAATAGGATCTGAAGATGGTGGTAGCACTACTAGAGAAAAGGAGGAGAATGGCTGTCAGATATGTGTGTGTGTGTGTGTGTGTGTGTGTGTGTGTGTGTGTGATTGACGCAGATACACAGATGGCTGGATATGGAGAGTAGGAGAGTAGAGAATCCCTACTGGTTCACCCTGTATTACTTCTCCCAGTTTTCAGACTGGTAGGTTTTAATTTAACTCCTGCCCCACAAGGTGACCTCATTACCAGCAGATGGTATTACTTGATGTTTCTCTGTATTGTGCAGCCCTCCCCATAGAATTGCTTAAGGAGGCTGCAGAAACAAACTAATCCTCTTACCCCTGATGGTAAGAATTGGCCCATGTCAGAGGTTATTAACATTATAAGAAGGACAATTACCAGTGCCTTCATGATTCCATGCTACAGCAATGCCATCTTTGAAACAGCCCTAAACATCCTAAACATGTAGGGTTCTAGTGATAACAACTTCTTAAAGACAGTGTCTTGGGTGTTGGTTTACTTGGACCCATCAGTCTAAAGAAGTTGGCGAAACCTAAACAATATTAGGCTCTAGTCAAGGAAGCTGGACAAAGTCTTTGCTGTTGCTTCCTAGGTTTATGAGAGCGGGCATGAAAGAATATGGTGTCCTCATGCCTGGCACCACACTTCTTCCCCACAGGGATTATTGTGGTAACATGAGAAAAACTTTGAAAACTTGCCTTATTAGGGGGTGTTTTTATATCTTGGTCACAAAACTATCAAAACTTCTCCTACGTATGTCTCATAGTCATTGTCTTTTCATCTTTTCATTCCCCTAAGACCCGGAATAGAGTATCTCTTAATGAATTCTCTTGATCACTATTCTTCAGGTACCAACTCCCAGAAAACAAGTGAACAGTATGGGAAGGGTAAGCTATGGAAGGAAGTACAGAGAGGCAGTGCCCTAGAAATCAGATGAACAAGGAAGGCAAGGAATTTCATAAAGAAGCCTGGACCTGCCGGAAGTGCCACTTACAATGGGTGATTTGTAATGGCAACTCACTGAGAATGAAGCTTACCTAAGGAGATTTCCCAAAAGTCAGATTCAGGGACTAAGAGGAAAGAGAGAAGGCCCAGAAAAACCTTCCCGCCTACACCATATTCTTTCCTGCCCACTTTCCTAAACTTAGGAAGCAAAGCAAAGACTTTGTCCAGCTTCAAGAATTAACCTATTTCCTTCCCTGGGTCTTTTCCACAGGAAATCTGAGGATGTGGTGGACACGGCCTTCCTGGGCACCCGGGCTGGCCTCATGAGAAGCAGCCTCTTCGTGAGCCCTGAAAAAGTCTCTAACAGGTGAGCTGGCTTGACCCACCTCAAAGATCAGAAGAGACCTAGACTTTGTTCCCAGGTTAAGTAGGGGTGGTAACAAAAAGTGGACTTTGATTTGGGTCAGGATGAAGATAGTATGGACAGGAGAATGAGAGCCTAAGAATCCTGCCACAGACATAACTGGGAGGTGGCAGTAACAAGGAGAGAAAGGAAGGAGGGAAGCCATCTACTTCCACGTGGAAACAAAGAGACTTTCCCTTTTGAGTTTAAGTGTGTTTACCTCAAGGTGACAAACTATGTTTTAAGAAGCTGAGGGCTGTGGCTAAGAGACAAACAGCAACCATATTCCCTGTTGATGTCCTAAACCAAATGACCAAAAATAAAAAAGACTTTAATATTCGACTGCATGTCCCAATTTTTGATTTGGAAAATATGACCACCAAAGATGTAGGTCAAGGTCCTTTACTTCATTGTTATGAACTATTCCCAGCCCTAAAAGGGGACATTTCTGCCAAATCCTATGATCTGAGCTTTCTCAGAGTTTTTCCCTCAAACCCTGTGGCAATCACACAATCCCCTATCTCTTAAGACATATTTGGAGATTGAGGAGTTCTTTCTCTGCTCTGACAGACCTTTAAAGGATCCCAGAACCCATCACTAATGGAACAAGTTGTGGGCTTGAGGATCGCTGTCTTCCAAATGTCTTGAAGATTTAATAATGCCATCGTCCCAGTGGCCTTCCATGACTGTTGCCATGGCAATGGAAAGGCCCAAGTCAAATTTGGACAGTGCTGTGGGAAACAGCACCACCTGGTGGCTTTACATGAGAAACATGAGACCCATAAATTTTAGAGGATGGGGAGAAAGCAGGTAGAGGGCTGTTAGGTCAATAGGCCACTATTTTCCTTAACGTCTACGGTCACTATTCCCACCCTGTTTTACCTTTTAAATTAGAGTCCATTTAGCTCCACTGCTCCATTGGTGGGGTTATACTAAGACCCCAAAGACAGAACTCACACTATTTTAGCAAAATTGAAGAGTCCTACATAACCAATACACACTGACAACCTCACTCCTTCCCTCTATCTTGTCAAGAGATGATAACCAACAGGTGGGTACTCCATCTTATAGCCTAATTGGAAAGAAAGGGAATGAATAATGGAGCAAGACCTTCTGGAGGAATCTCCTGAGAGTGTACTGATACCCCACTATGCCATTTTTTAAAACAAGGTCAGAGAGTCAGCAATTGATTTTTCTGGACCAGGGCTCACTACAGTCTCTGAACTCAATTGGTGACTGCTCCCACCCTAATCTTCCCGGACTCACCGTCATAGATCCTAGAATTTTGGAGCAGGAGGGGATCCTAGGTATCATTTAATCCAACTCCTTCATTTTATGGATAAAGAAGATACAGTGGTGAAGTGCCTTGTGCTGGATTCTTTTCCACCTCTAATTAAATTAGGAAAGGCACTGAGAGCTCACTGAATAACAGGCCAGGCTGGATAGCTGCATGGGGTTTATAGATGCTGTAAAGGGAGGTGTAGAAATTCTTGGTATTGCCAATTTTTCACCAGCATTGCTATCCCAGGAAGGGATAAAATCTTAATGCTAAACCAAATTAACTATTCTACTAAACTATATAGATCTGAGGTAGCCTGGGTACCTTCCACCATGTGAGTTAAGCATAAGCTCTTATACATCATCCATAGACCTTCTTGTTTGTCGGTTTGCTTTTTGGTGAGGCAGTTGGGGTTGAGTCGACTTGCTTAGGGTCACACAGCTAGTGAGTGTTATGTGTCTGAGGCTGGACTTGAATTCAGGTCCTCCTGACTCCAGTGCTAGTGCTCTATCCACTGTGCCACCTAGCTGTCCCCATAGACCTTTTTTTTAAAAATCTCATGTCAACTTCCCTCTGCCTCTACACAAGGCTATTAGATTAGCCTTCCCTGCTCCCATTTGGTATAGAAGGAAAATCTGGTAGAGATATCTCTAGCACAATATCTGATGAGATAAACAGATAAAGAAAACCAGACAGATGGAGGGAGAGAGAAAAAGAGAGAGCAAGACAGACATAGAGAGAGAGAGAGATTAAAGTGAATTTTAAAAAATTAACCACTATTTGAATTTGTCATTGCCAGTGTTCCCCTCTGCCAGTGTGGGTAATAGCGTTGAATATGTAATATCCAAACTCAGGCAGTTCTATCCCAAGTTTCTTTGACTGATCCTTGTGTGGAATGTGAGGACTGGAAACCATGCCATATGAAAAACAGTTGTTAAAAGCTAACAATTGTTCAGCCTAGGGAAGATGGGAAATATAATACTATCTTCGAGTATTTGAAGGGCAGTCATTTGGAATAGGAATTAGTTCATTCTGCTTCAAAAGAAGAAGATTCAAGCTGTACACAAGGGGAAAATGTCACCGTCCAAAAGTGGCATTGTCTGCTGAGGTGACAGTGAATTTTCCATCACTAGAGGTCTTTAATTAGAGGCCAGATGAGCACTTGTCAGGAATGTTGTAGAGTGGATTCTTATTCAGATAGTGGCTGAAATCTAAAGTCTCTTCTGTTTCTGAGATTCTATGTGTGTGAAGCTTTCCAATTCAAAATTTTTACCTCATAGAATCCTAACTAAAATCCATCCAAGATCCTGAGACCCAACTAAGTAAATTCATCCCAAAGGCATTTAAGGATAAAAACAGGGCAATAAAACAGATAAAATGGGGGGAAATCTGAAAAGATTTTTATAATAAACTGTTTCCTTCCAGTCTCAGTAAAAGTTCCACCTTCCTCAAGAAGCCTTTCCCACCCTTCCTTAATCATAGTGCCTTCTCTCTGAGATTATTCCTAATTTATCCTGTATATCATTTGCATGTTATCTCCCCCCATTCGACTGTGAACAGCTTTAGAGCAAGGACTTTTTTTTGCCTCTTTTTATATTCCCAGAATTCAGCAGGGTTCCTGGCACATAATAGAGGCTTGTTGACTGACTGATGAGAGTCTCCCAGATTTCTGAAAAGATGCTAAGTCAATCTCATTGCAGGAAGTTCCTGACCCTAGAAGACAAGTCAAGCATCTTCACCATGGACCACTTCCCCCTTTGGTACCGGCAGGCCGCAGAGCAGCCAGAAGGTAGCTTTGTCTTCAGCATCCCCTCTGGAGGGGAGCCAGGTAACTCAGATCCTAGTACCATTGTGAAGGATATGGCCAAGGGCTGTCTTCCTTCTTTCTTATTCAATGGAAAGCATAAGACAGTTAACAAACTCTGAGTGGGAACCATCTAGGACTCTTGGGTTCTCTCCTCGCAGGTGATTCAATTCTGTAGCATGCCTCTTTTCTTGTTTGTTGTTGTTCAGTCATTTCAGGGGTGTCCAACTCTTTAGGGTTTTCCCAGTAGAGATACTGGAGTGGTTTGCCGTTTCCTTCTCCAGCTCATTTTACAGATGAGGAAATTGAGGCAAACAGGGTTAAGTGACTTGCCCAAGGTCACACAGCTAGGAAGTGTCTGAGGCCAGACTTGAACTCAGGAAGATGAGCCTTCCTGATTTCAGGCCTAGCGCTTTATCCACTGCTCCACCTTGTTATCATAAAATAAGAACAGATAATCATGCTCCCCCAGATCATAGGATCAAAGATTTAGAAATGCAAGGGACCTTAGAGGTCATCTAGTCTAACTCCTTCATTTTACACAAGAAAAACTAAAGCCCAGAGAGACTGAGTAAATTGCCCAAGACCACCAAAGGAATATGGAATAGTAGAGCCAGGTCTTCTTCAAATCCAACATTCTTTCCGCAACACCATTCTGCTAATGCCTAGAGAGGTCATTTGGAAAGGCAGATAGCTTAGTGGAAAGAGCAAGAGATTGGGAATCAGGACACCTGGGTTCCAGTCCTAGCTTTGCCACTAATGAGCTCAGTGACCTTAAGTTCCTAGGCCACTTTGACCACCTTAGGCCCCAGTTTTCTCATCTGGAAAACCAGTGTGTTAAATTCAATTAACTCAACCAACCCTAAAAATATTATCCTCTGACACTGATTGTTAAACAGGCTACCTAACCTAAGGAATATAAGGACCTCAGTAAATCCTACTGTCAGAGGCAGGTTCCTATATGTGAAATAGTAGGGCAGCTTCGAGCGCCAGTAGACCCCGGGTGCCCCCTTAGCCTGGGGAAACGATTAAAATCAGGGTATTCTCGCAGTTAAAACTAGAAGAGATTTCAAAGATCAAGTCCAATCCCCTTCTATTACAGATAAGGAAATTGAGTCTACAGAGGTGAACTGACTCCCTTAAGATCACATAGTTGGTTAGTAGGGCTCTGTCTTTTTCTAATTGAGGATTCCTTGAACCAGCAGCCAGAATATTTCACTGGTGTGAAATATTCTTTCTTCTTCTTCTTCTTCTCCTCCTCCTCCTCCTCCTCCTTCTCTCTCTCTCTCTCTCTCTCTCTCTCTCTCTCTCTCTCTCTCTCTCTCTGTCTCTCTCTGTCTTTCTCTGTCTCTCTCTCTCCTTATTTCAACGCTATCAACAGATGACCAAGAAATTGTTGGAATAAGAAAAGAGGCAGCTAGGAATCAGGACTGAAGTAAGACTGAGGCAGAAGGGATGGAATTCGCCAAAGGAGGGAAGAGCTTTCACAACCAATTTTACACCAGTGAATGAATGAATGAATGAATGAAATTCATTGAAATGAAAGAAAGAGAACTCACTGGGTTGTCAGAATCAGGGACAAGCCAGTGAGAACTGCACTGCACCCTAGTCAGGGTCTTTCCTCCTACTCACCACTCCCACCGAGTTACTCTTCCAGTTACCAAAGAGGCAGCCAAGTGCACAATGCTCAAGGAAATAACACCCTGGTGAGGCCTGGCCTCCCAGAGGCTACAGGTGTCAAACTGGGCTAACTCAGGAATCTCAGACAACAAGAAGTTACTCAATCTCGCTAAAAAATGTTTTTCTAAATAAAATCATTGGCTGGTGAAAGTGGTTGGGATTGTTTATCAAAGAAAAGCATGGAACGGTTAGGAAGGGTAGGTCTAAGACCACTTTGTACCAGTGGGGTCCCCACATGAGCCTTCCCCTTTCTCTACCCCAAATCCCTTCTGCCTCCAGATGTTCCGTGCCTAAGTCTCACTCCTCCCTCCCTTTGCCCTGCTCTATCCATCAGGGTAGGAAATGAGGACTCTTTCCCAGGGGCCTCAAAAGGTTCTTGGTCATGTTACCTCAATTCTCTATGAATTCCTCTTACTCCTGTGGCTGACAGGTAGAAGGTACTGAGGAAGATCCCCTTTTCTGCTCCTGAATCAGAAGACCAACATTGTAACTCCCCCCACCACCCCCCATCCCCCGCCTCGGAAGCAGCCTTCTACAGCATTGTGGAGGCGTTATTAGGAAAGGGTGATTCAAAATAGCGTCACCCAGGGGTTCTCCTAGCCACAGTGAATCCCTTACTGACCCCTACCCCACCCCAGATGCTGTCCCCAAAACCAGCTCTCCACCTGCGCTTTGTCACCAGGACTCTGCCTGCTGACTGCCTGGAATGCTTTTTGTGGCATTGAGGTAGGAGGGCAGGTGGGTGGGGAACTGAGCAGCAAGGAAAAGAGTGAGACTGGCAACCCAAAAATGGGCCAGTGGGGAATGGTGAAGCTGAGAAGGAGATCGGCTCTCTCTTCACCTAGGTATCTGCACATCGACTTGATCACTGTGGGACAATGGAAAGAGAATTGGATTCAAGGCACAGGATGTGGCTTTAGATCCTGCCTCAGTCCCTGGGGAAGTTACTCTTCGGGTCTCAGTTTCTTTATCTGTAAAATGAGAGAGTTTGACTAGATGGCCTCTAGATTCTCTTCCAACTCCAAATCTGGTGTAGCCTACCCAGATAATGGATGCTTATTGAATTGAATTGAAATCCAGAAAGGGGGAGAAAATGACCACATCAAAAGAAAAACTGCAGAGGAGAATGTGACTTCAGGGTTGGAAGAAACATCCTCTGATGCCTCTCCACATCTAATCCATCCCTCTTTGCCGGGGGTGGGGGTGAGGGAAGGGGATTCTACCCTCATTGCACTATCTTTTGCTGCCAATACTAGACACACAGAAGGGTCTTGCTGATACCGGCAGACCTTTTACTCTCCCTCCTCAATTCACCTCTTGTCCCTCTCACCCAGGCAGCATCAGCCCTGGAGCAGCATCAAGTACACCCATGTTTCAGTGGTCACTTATACACCTTCACTACCTGAAAAATGATGGGCCTAGCAGGAGGACCTGAAATCCCCAAGATCCTTAGAGATAGCATTTTTCCAGGAATTTCTTATCTTTTTATTTTAACATTTCCTAAATGACTATGTCATGCAAAACATGTATATATAGTTTGTTGTGTAGGGAAAGGCCACCAGATTTCAAAGACACCACTTTCAAGAAGCTGATCTTGGCAATTACCATGGAATTCTATGGAATGAACTCTCCATCAATGTCAAGGTCCTGGGCAGACCTTCTGGACCAATTTTGTTAACTGTGAGCGCCTAGAATCACAGTGTTTTCCTTTAGCTCATTATAATATATTATTAATAATAATATTAATATTACATAATAATTTGACATTTTTATGCCACATTAAAGTTCTCAAAGAGCTGAAAAGGCATATGCCTTTTTGAGCCCTACAACCCTATAAAGTAGATACTACAGCTATCATTATCCTCACTTTATACATAAAGAAATTTGGTCTCAGAGAGATTAAGTGACTTATTTGCCTTACACAGCTAGTAAATGCCAAGGGCAGGATTTGAACTCAGAGCTTCCTGATCCCACCTCTAGGACTCTATCTACAACACTGTCCTGCCTCCTCATAAGGTGGTACAATGGGCAGTAGTCTAGCTACATAGTGAATGCAGCAAAATTGTGGTCCAACCTTCCTATGTGCCACACCATAAAAGCCATATTCAGTGTGTGATAGTAAAGATATCCTGGGCCTGTTTGTTTCAGGTAGAAATTGAATGCAACAAAATTTCCATACAACAAAAGAATCTTGGAATTCCTTAGAGTTCATCATATTGAGATTTGACCTGTAGGCCAAGAGATAATGAATTGCTCTGTAAGACCATGTAGATGATGGTCAATAGGAGACCATACACACACACACACACACACAAACAGGTTTTCTGCGGCAATGGAGAACTCAGAGTTATCACTTAAATTCTCCTCCCTCAGCAACTCACAGTTTAATGATGAACAAAAATGTAGGAAAACAAAAACAAAAAACCAAGAAAAGTCCCTATTCCTATCCACTAGCCTAGCAGAGAACCATGGCATTGAGCTTCAAGTCAAGCTACAGGCATCATTGGTTGATGTTGTGCCCATTATTTTCACTAATAAATGTTCCTTGAGTAATCATTAATGTAGAATTCTACACAACCTTCTGTATGGCTATTAAGATATGAACCTGTCAAGAGAGATCAGATCTGATTTCTTCCCTACGGTTTGGACAGCATTACATAACATTTGTACTTGATTTTAAAGGACAACACAAGTTTACCACCACGGGGCCCTGGAATGTAGCCAGCAGTCAAGGGAAACAGAGTCCTCTGAGCAGGACATATGCAGAAGATGAATGACATCAAGAAACCTAAGCTGTTGCTCTATTGAATTACAGTGGGATGGGAGTGATCAGGGAGGGCTTGAGTGATGTGAATACTTGAATAGCTGGACTGAAGGACAGCTTTAAGGGTTTTAGACCCCAAACTTAGGCATAACATTTATACTCATCACTGAATCCTGAAGGAGAATGGGGGAAGGTAGCCAAAAAACCTCAGGCTGATTTCAACCCTTCCCCCTCCTTTCCAGTTGCTGAGAACTTGACTAAGCAATGATTTTGTGTTTCCCCAGGATCCGTGACAGTGAGCACAGCTGTGGCCGTGACTGTGGACAAGAAAACAGCCATTGCTGCAGGTAGGAGCTGCCTTCATGAGGCCTAGAAGTACAAAGAGTCAAGCTCAACAGAGTGGGTGGGGGGAGAGGGGCATGGTACACGAGGGAGCTGGGCAGAGTCTACAGGGTATGTATTTTCTGGTTGCAATTTCTAAAATGGGAAAGGTCTCCAGGCTCCTTAATGCAAGGGACTGAAATTTCCATGGGGCCCTTGATGGCATTTCCTGGAAATTATTGTCCTAATCACCTACTCCACCCTTGCTCTTCTCCTTAGACTTGTGTCTGCAGAATACTATGGGGATCTTTGCAGAATTCTGAGATGGAGCATGGTATTGGGAACCAAGATACTGGGGTTAGATTCTCAACTCTTTACCTGACCTCCTGGGTGCAAATCATTTTCCCTTTTGCTTAGTTTAGTGCCTTTTTTAGCCATCTAATGAAGAGCTTTTTGAGACAGGGGAAAATAAAAATTAATGAAGAAGCATTTTTTAAGCACTTACTATATTCTATATGGGGCAACTGGGTAGTGCAGTGGACAGAGTGCTGGGCCTGAAGTCTGGAAGGCTCCTCTTCCTGAGTTCAAATCTGGCCTCAGACACTTCTGAGCTGCGTGACCCTTCACAAGTCACTTAACCCTGTTTGCCTCAGTTCCTCAACTGTAAAATGAGCTGGAGAAGGAGATGGCAAATCACTCCAGTATCTTTGCCAAGAAAAGTCCGAATGCAGTCACAGAGAGTTGGACACAACTGAAACCGAACAACAATGTTCAATGTATTCTGCTAAGTGTCAGGGATAAAAAATTTTTTTTAAAAAGATAGTCCCTTGTCTCGAGGAGCTCACATTCTAAGTGCAGGAGAAGGGGTAGGGAAGGAAAAGTCAACACACGTAAGAGGTTGTAACTGCAAGTCAAATAGAGGGGCCCCATGGTCTTTAGGGTTCAGTGGCAAAGCACTTTCTGTGATGTTATTTCCATTGATAAAAACTACATCTGTGCCTGATGTTAAACCATTTGACAATGCCAAGGATTTTGGTGGGAAGTCTTTTTTTTTCTGGGTCTTCAGTAGCTGCGGCTGCAGATAAGGCAGGGCCTTAGCCCCTGCCAAATTGTCAGATTTCATCTCTGTTAGCTGCTTGGGGCTGGGCTGGAGGCAGTGATGGTGGTCTGGAGGTCTTGGGCTCAAAACCCTGAGCTGCTTCCAGCTAGGGCTGAGTAGAGGTGACTAACTATTTCCAGAACCAGAGAATCTTGGAGGCAGAAGGGTCTTGGCACATCGTTCAACCCAGCCCTCTTGTTTCTCAGGGGAAGGAAACTGAAGCCCATGATCATGTGGTCAAATAATGACCACAGTTACACAGATGGTTGGTGATAGAATCAGTACTAAAAAATCAGGTGTCCTGGCCCCCAGCCTGCTGCCCTGCCTACACCTGTTAACTAACACCCACCCTGCCCTTACTTCTAAACTGATTGGAGCTGTGAACTGGCAGTTACTCTGTAAGGACATGGATTTGCTGTTTCACATTAAACCTAGTATCTAAGGAAATACTCTAGGCTCAATGAGGAGATGAGGGTCTTGCTACCTGAAGGTTGAACCTGCTCTGTGGCCTAAATCCTGTCAGAGGAAGTTAAAACACCCTCTACAACTCCCCAGCATTTGTGGTTCTTTCTTTGCTGTTCTTTACTAACTCCAGAAGTGATGTTAGCACAGCAGCCTCTGTGATTTCATAAAGAGTGCCCTAGACTCCAGAACCTTGTGGGCACCAACCAGGCACTGGCCAAGTAGGATAGAGATAGAGACTTTCCAAGTACTTTGGGTCTGGCAAGTGAGGAAGATTTGGTTACAGTGAAATTGGCTTACCTTCATATAGCAGAAGTTTCTGCTAGGGGGTAAGGTCAGGAAAGGGGAAGGATTATCTAGCCTCCATGGTGGACACTCTCCAAGCTGGTGTGGTTCAGTATGAAGGGGACTTGAGAGTCAGTACTATACTACTTGCTCCACCTGGGCTCATTCCAAGTTGTGAGTTAAGGGGACAGAGAAAGATGAAATCATCTGAGCCTAAAAAAGAGGTACCAGAAGCACTAGCGGTGACCGCTTCTTTTCATGAGTCATAATCTTGGGCTGCTCTCTAGCCGGGGGTATAAAGAAAGGATGGCAGACGTAGCACCCCAGAGGACTGGAAGCTTGATTCAGTGTCTCTGTACTGCCCCTACCCATCTTTCTTCCCCTAAGCCCTCACACACCGGCCCCACCTGATTCCCAGGACAGAATCCAGCCGCAAAGGCATTGGCTGCCCAGAGGCTGCCACACCTGCCTCCTTTGAGTTGTTCCTTCCTCGGCTCCCTTCTATCTTCTGTGGTGCCTGAGAAGGAAAGGGTGTAGGGTAGGCAGAGTCCTCCAGGGTCAGGCTCCTGCGCTCTTCAAGTACTTGGTGACATTTTATACCTCAGAACTGAGGTTGCCATGGAAACAGTGTCCCTGGTCCCTCTGGTCTGACTCACTTCAGACAATTGCTCTTGACTCTAGGGTTCCTGGATGTGATAGGAGAAGGATCATGTGCTCGGCACTTTCAACTTATTTTTTCCCCTGCTTCTTAAATTCTATCTGCCAGCCCATCTCTGCCTTCTTGATTCCTTTGGCTTTGTTCACTTACTGGGTTACCCAGGGATAGGAAAGATGGCAGGTCTGTGCGGGGTGGGAGGGAGCTCCAAGGCCAGGGTGATGGCGTGCTTTGTGTGGAAGTTCTGGGCTTGTGCGGATCTATTTTAAACTGCCTTGTCCCCTTTTCTGGACTCCGGTCTCCTCTGAGTGGGGTGGGAAGATCTAAGAAGATGACCTCTCAAGTCACTAGCTCCATGGAATGGCCCATCCCCAGGCAATAACAGCAGTATCGCTCCCAAGTACAGAAGGTGTTTGCTGTTACGTCTGCCGACATGTGTGTTTCCACATGCACCCTTACATTGCAGCTCCATGACAATGTTGCTCAAGGCAAAGAACACTGGTCTTGGCATCTAAGACCTAAGTTTGAGTTCCAACTTTGGCATTTTCTAGCTTTGTGACCTTGGGCAAGGCCCTTAACCTTTCTATGCCTCAGTTTCCTTATCTGTGAAATGAGACAATAGCTTCTGAGGTGCCTTTCATCACGCTATCTACGATCCTAATATTCACATTACCTACTTCACAGGGTTGTTATGAGAAGAGTGTGGGGTCAGGAAATTGTGGATTTGAAAGTGCTATAGAAATGTGAGTCATTCTCTCCAGGCAAATGAGCTGCATCCACCTGGGGAATTATCCACATTTGGCCCCTGATTCTTGCCAAGATGGAGGCATGCTCCTCATACCCCCATAGTAGCAGTCATCTGCTAGGTCTGAGGTTGCCTTTAGGCATGTCTGGTCTGCACACCATATACACAACTTAGATAGATTTGTGGAGTGTATGGGAAGTAATTGTTTTGCTTCTTCAGCAGGGCTCAGAGCAAGCTACCCTTTAGAATCTTCTGATGCCATCTGGAATCATTACTAAGCAATAAGAACAGGGAAGGCAAAGAACCTAATAGTCAACCTAGCTTTAGAAAATGGGAACCCTCGAATTCAACTGTGGAAAGCATTAGTTCTTCTAGGAATAGGGCACTGGTGATGTAGTCCCTTCCTGCCTTTCCCTAGGGTCTGCCTCTGGCTCTCTGGGCTTTCATATGGAAGTCGCTCTTCTGGAAATAGAAACAAACAAACTAAAAACAGCAAGACATGAGACAGCAAAGGCAGTCCAGACAGCATCAGTCAGAGGCCAATCCCAGCCCCTTAAGCTGAAGTCAGTGCTTAATCAGGTAGCTGGCTAGTCTGCTGATCTTTAGTTAGGGGTGTGAGGGGTTCCTCACACCCCTCCATCATCTTACATCCTGGTTCTTTCCACCCTGCTCAACCCAGAAGACAGCAAGCCTGTCCCTAATGTAAATCTCTAAAATGCTGGATGTTTATATGTCCCACAATTACCTTTTCTTGCTGGTTTTCCCCTGGGTCCTCCAGGAGCATTAGATGCCACATTTTGTCTGCAGGCTTCCCCTAGGAGGAATAAAATCTGACCTGAAGCATCTCTTCCTATAATGAGGGTATTTGGACTTGTCTTAAAAATAACCCAATCCCGTGATAGAGAAGTAACTTCCTAAATAAATTAATGCCTTTTTGTCCTATAGGCTTATCATATCTTGACTGCCAGGGTAAATTCAATTAAATTTCAGTATTCAGAGTGCTGTCTAGGCCCCCGGCTCTATTTTTGTCAGTCCCTAAATCAGCATCTGCACCAGGAAATCCATTCCATAGCCCAGGAAAACCATTTGTGCTTGCAGGAAAGAGGAGTGAGCTATTTCAAGACTATCACCCTAAGTTCTACTGAACCTGGGAACTGTTCCCATCAACTTGCCTCTGCTACCTGGTCTAAATCCAAGACTCTTCAGCAAGTGCCCCAGTAGAATGTAAGCAGCTTGAAGGCAGGGACTGTTTTGTTTCAGTTCTTTAGATTCCTTCTATTGAGCACAATACCTGAGATACTTAACAAATGTTTATTGAATACCCTAGATGTGCTCCAGGGTTGGGAACGTTGTGAACTTTAGGGCTCTGGGTTTCCATTTGTCTCATATTTTGGTATGATATACCTTAGCTACTATACCTAAATTCCCTAGAGCAAGTGAAGGATCAGAAAATAAAGTCAAAAAAGGAAAGAAAAGAGGTAGGGGGGGCTATGTTCTATGTCCTTCAATCCTTCCAGATGCCACATTCCCTCCCTAGCCAATGAAACTAGGAAGGCTATAGGAAAATACAGTCTTTATTGTTCTTCTGAAACAACAAACAAGAAATATAATTTTGCCTTTAAAAATCTCCTGCCTTGTGCTGAAGACACCACCATTTTGAATCCCCTCCCCCACCCCTCCACCCCTATTAAAAACAATAATAACAACAACCAGGTCTGCTGCCAGCCCATAAAGAAGAGGGAAGGCCCACCTACCCAAGGGAAGGGTTTACCTGTTGGGCTTATGCCAATGGTATCCACTCCCCAGTTTAGTCGGGTGAAGCGCCTTCTCAAAGATGCCTTCCCCACTATGCCCACCTTACATCTCATTCCCTTTTTTTCACAATGGTTTACATATGCAGAATTGGGGGAGTGGGCGAAAGGCAACCAGGACCAGCCCAGTCATATCCTGCCATCTTTCCCCATCCCTCTCTATGCCTGTGCTTTAGTTGCACTTCTTCCTTGTATTGTCCTCCTGAGACACCCCAGTAGAAGCACAAACCAGTTGGGTGCCTTCTAGCCCCTCAGATGTTCCTTGGGAAACCACTGACCTGAAAAGAGCAGACCAAGGTACTCCCAGGGCATGATGAAAACATCACCTGCCATCCAACTCATAAGGAGAAGGAAGAAGAAAGGAGGAAGAAAAAGGAAAACCAGGGAGAAATACTAGGGTTCCCACAATTCCTCCATGACCTTCCTCTTCCATTCCCACTCTACTCATACCTCCTTAGTATAGTATATATACCATTACTATTGGCTACATTTAGAATCCAAATCTGTAGGTTCCTGGCTCAGATTCTGGTCCTCAGTTTAACTGTAATTAAAGACTCTGGGGAACAGGACCAAGCAGGCAGATTCCCCAGTGGACTCATGCTTACCTATGCCTGGAAAAGGAATTCACCCTTCTCCAAGCACCAGAAGGGATTGTAAGGGGAATATCCCCGTGGGGCACTCTGGCTGGTAATGAACTTCAGTGAGGAACGTTATTCTCTCTGCCTGACACTCACTTTCCCAGTTCTATGCCCCTGCTCCCCCCTCCAAAAGGGGGTCACCAGGCCAAACAGCATTGTCCAAGGATGATCCAGCTCTGCAACTTTGCCCAAAACCACATATCAGAGCATAGATTAAATAAGAAACATGCTAGTTTCCTTCCTCAGAACTCAGACTCTAGAGGGGAAACTAGATTGCAGTACGCAGAGGTGACTGTCCTAACTGTGCCTAGCAGTGCTGCTCTGTGTAGGCTCTGAACTGAATAAGTATTCTGTGATATGAGTCTGAGTTCCTAGTATTGCACCAGCCACAATCACTACAGCTTTGAGGCCTCTGGGGCAGGTGTCCCCACAATATCCAACATGCTAGGCTTGAGCTGGTTACCATGGTGATAGGCAGTCTGGTCCAGAAACAATACTTTATCCCACTTTAGCAGATAGCAAAAGAATCCTTGTGCTGTTGGATTTGGGTTTCTCTCCCCCATTGGCTGTAGAAGGCTGCAGTAAGCAGGAAATTCTACAGTTGAACAGCTGACTGTTGTGAGGAAGTGACATCTCAGCTTCACTAAGATTCCTGGTATCTGTATCTTTGTGTGAACTTGTATGCATGAATCTGCCCCGTGTGTAGACTCCTAAATCAATATAGTTTTATTGATATTGCTATGAGCATGTGAGTTTGTGAATTCAGGGACAATGAGATTATGCCAGATTTAAGGGTCATAACTACATTTGCAGTGTAAGAAGTATTTATATATTCATATAGTTGTATTGATAAGAATAGGGTAGGTTTATTCCTGTGGCTGTATCAGAGCCTAAAAGAAAGAATCAGCTTTTGCCTTGAAGGGAGGTTAAACATATCTTTCCAGCCCTAAAAGAAGGATTAGCAGAAATCTTCCTCTGACCCCCATTCCCATGACTCCCTTCCTCTAGCATCTTGAAGGCAAAATGCTGAAAGAATCACAGCCACAGCTTCACCCAGAAGAGAGTGAGAGGAAGGTAAAAACATAATTCTAAAGGCCTCCCTTCTTCACCTTCTTCTCTGCCCTCATCTGTTCTCCCTATCCTAGCCAAAACCAAATGTCTGATGAGGGAGCAAACCAGGAGAGTTTCCCGAAAAGTTTCAAGGACTCTTGTTCTTTGAGGCAGCTGGGCTGTGGTTTCTTTGCCTGGAAGGGCATGGGAGGAAGGTGGGATTGAGGCAAGCAGTGTTCTGTGATCAGACTGAGATAGGAACTGAACAACAGAAACTCAGGATCGAGAGGAAGGAGTGCTGGAGAGTTTCATAAGAGAGGGGCTTGCTAAAAGTCCCTGGCTTTCTTCCCCAGCCCTCCCTATTGAGGCCAGATGGGGGTAGGGAAGTCTCATGCCACAGAGGAGATCTGCTTCTGATCTTCATGCTCACCCTCTGGGTCACCCATCAGGGGCTGGCGCTTCTTTAGCTCCCGGTGATACTTGGCCATGAGGGAGGCATAAATGCATCCATAGGCAGCAGCCACAACCATCATGATACAGACAATACCACAGACCACACCAGCAATAATGACAGTACCAATGGCCCGACGGACACTGACTGGCCGATATCGCTGTTTCTGGGGGCAGGCTGTGCTGGGCTCGGGTTCTGGCTCAGCCCCAGGCTTGGGTTTAACAGGTTCTAGGCTGGCCTTGGTACAGGGAGGCCCAGACACTTCCAACCCAGCTGAGCTGCTCTCCCCCAGCTGAGAGCAATAGTTGAACATCTCCATGGGAACCATTCGCATGTCTTTCCCTCTCAGCTCTTTGGGCATGGTACAGGCCAGCTGGTCTAGGCGTCCCCCTGTGCCAAAGGGAGAGAAAAGAATGGGGTGTTCAGCTTTCCATGTCCAAGGAACCCCTCTCCCTGCTCCAAGATCCAAAAGGTATGATTGCTGACCAACACTGTGGTGACCCTAGAAATGTTATCTCAGGAAGAGAAAATGGGTTAATCCAGACACATTGAGAAAAGCACCTTTGGAATCAGCTTGAGCCAGAGGTCATAATATAGCACCTAGCACAGTGCTACACAAATACTGTGCTTAATAAATACTGTTTGAATGAATGAGACTCCCACCCTAACCTTCCCTGGTAGAAAAAGCTACCCGGGGTGGGGACTTTCTCCTTTGTCACCTCTTTCTCAAAAAGTTGTTGTTGCTGTTGTTTTTTCCCATTGCCCATTTATTTTTGGCTGCTTAATTCCTACCTTTGGGCTGCTGGGCCCTATTCCCCTTGCAGTGACCTCTTCTGCCAGGGAACTACCCCTTGAAGTAAAAGTAAAAGGTCAATATGTAGTGACATATTGACCTTTTGGTGGAGTTTTTGCATACTTAGCTCTTCCTAAGGCTTTGAGAACAGGAGAGGAATTTTCTAGCCTTCGTGTTCTTCCCCTTCCCAAATTTATTCCTGTGGTCCCACCAAAGTATTCCTGATTTGGCTCAAAGGCATTTTGATAGAAAGTCCTGTAGATATGAGTGGACGTTACCAAATAGGACGAGTGCCATTTTATTAGATAGATATGGATATCAGTTGACCAATAAATGTTCATTGATGCTTTTGTTAGATTTTTTTTTTCATTTGTTTTGGGGGAGGAGAACCAGGGCCCAGAAAGATAAAGTGCCTCATGTTCCCAATAGCCCTTTTGCCAAAGAAACTCGATTTCTCTTGCACCAAGATTCCACTGACACAAGGAACTTCCATTAGGAAAATTCCCTCTACCAAAGTTGATCCTCACCTGTTCTACAATTTATAGTCTTAATTGCCTGGGGCACTAAGAGGTTAAGTGACTTGCCCCAGGTAGCTCAGCCAGTCTGTGTCAGAGGTAGGATGATGATTATGAAGACAGGCAAAGGCTGTAAATAAGGTGGGTAGATGACAGTGTGGGTAGTTAGACTATCTGCCTGGATACTCCATGAGAAATGATATAAAGCTGGATGGGATGGCAATTACAGTGGATGACAATCCAACTCCAAAAGGATAGTGACAGGCTAGGGCACTGAGTAAATCTAACTCAATATAAAATATAATTCAATAGAGATAATGTCAAGTCCTACACTCAGTTACAAAAAAAAAAAATCTCACAAATACAAGATGAAGGAGATATGCAAAGATAACAATAGTACTGAAAAGATTTGGAGGTTTTAGTGGACTTAATATCAATATAAGTCAGTAATGGGATATGACAGCCAAAAGTGCTAATTTAACCTTGGGCTGCATTAAGAGGGATATAACTTTAAGAATAGAGAGGTGATAGATCCACTATATGCTGTTCTTATCAAACCTTATCTGGAACAGTTTAGTTATGGACACAAGGTTTAAGGAAGATGTTGATAAACTGTAGAGTCCAGAGGAGGTCGGCCAAGGATCAAGGGCCAAGGACCAGTTGAAGGAATTTGGCCAAGTGCAGCATGGAAAAGAAAGGCTTTGGGTAGGGTGGGGGAGGGGGAGGGGGAGGGGCACGATTGCTGTGTTCAAGTAGGTAAGGCCTGTGAAGGAGGAACCAGATCTATTCCATTTGGTCCCAGAGGGCAGAACAGGGGCAACCAGGAAGTTTCATAAAGGGTTTTGCTCCGAGTTAGGGAAAACTTCCTAGCAATTACAACTGACCAAATGTGGAAGGGGCCCTCTTTGGAGGTCTTCAAGCAGAGGCTGGACAACCATTCATTGAGTATGCTACGGTGGGAATTCCTTTTGTGAATTGTTTGGCCTTGAGGGCTGGTGGGGTTCCTTTGACTCTCAAATTCTGTGACATGACCACTTGCCTTCTTCTTACCTCCATTCAAGTCCTAGACCTACACAAGGAACAACCCTGGAGTTGATTCTAGGTCCGTGTCCTAGGCACTGTCTCCTACAGCCAGCTGCTAATGGTGTCCTAAACAACAGACATCATTCTTTCTCCAAAATGGTGGCATCAACTCCACTCTAGGTTCTGTGAGGGATTCTAGTCCAAGGAATAGGTCTGAACAACTTTCCTAATTATTAGATTATGTTTAGGGACTGGATCTGTGATTTCATTGGTATTGGGAACTTCTTTACCATCTGGATCTGTGATTTCATTGGTATCAGGAACTTCTTTATCATCTCTCTCCTTTCCTTTAGATCATTTTGAAACATGTTAGAACTTTTCCTGGAAAGTGTTAGTTTTCCTTCCATTTCCTTCCTTTAAACTCAGAATATGGGAAAGGGATGAAAAATGAGGCAAAATTGAAACCATTTGATTCCTTATTATAGATCTGATATAAATTTATGTTGGGAGAGAAGGCTGCAGCTGTTGGCTATGGAATTTAAATCCCTTTTTTCCTGCTGTTATGGATAACTGAGAACTGATGCGATTATTTATAAGGTAGAGGAAGGTTATCCTTCCTCTTTTGCCTCCCCTTTGCATTCCACCATTATTTTATCCCTTTTACTTGCATTACCTAACAAGACATAAAAATCCTTCTCCCCAACAACTCCTCGGGATCATTTCCTTGCTCATCCCCCAAAGAGGGCTGCTGTGGTGTTATAGAAAGAAAATTGCACTGCCAATAACTAGCTGTGTGTCCATGAACAAGTCACTTCCCTTCCTAGGAGGCCTCAGTTTCCATAGGATTTAGAGCCAGAAGAGACCTTAGAGGTTATCCAGCTGAATCCCCTCATTTTAGAGATAAGGAAATGGAGACCCAGAAAGATGAACTATCCACCCATGCTCACCCGTTCTTTCTACCTCACTAAGCTTCCTCTGTACTCACAGCTTCCTACCACCACCTCTGACAAACATTCTCATACAGGTAAAATCAGGTTAAAATCAACTCCAAGGGAAACCTTCAAGAGGAATAAAAGTAATAAAACAGCAGCCTGAAATGGGTAGGGGAGAAAGGCAGAAGGGCAGTCCCACTCCTTTGTCTCACTGATGTATGGCTGGGGAGGCGGACAAGGGGGTGGGGAGGTAAGAGAGGCTGATTGTATAGAGATGAGCCTCAGATCTTTTTTAGCACCAGCTGGCAAAACCACCTCCTCCCTGATGGCTGCTTCCCTGAGTAACTGAACCTAGTTCAGGAGAGGAGAGTTGGAGATGTGTGGAGTTAGTCCTAATTTGCTGTACCCTAAAGACAGCTCTGCTTACCACGATAGGAGAACCATTCCATCCAGTGCTTGAACTCTCGCAAGTTACAGTCACATTCCCAGGGGTTGTCCCCAACCTGAAGCAGCTGCAGGCTCACTAGAGGTTCAAATGTCACCCGGTCAAGGTTTTGCAAGCGGTTGGAGCGGAGTGAGAGAGACCGAAGGGCCAGGAGTCCATCAAAGAGGCCAGGAGGCAGTTGTGCCAGGCCATTGATGGACAGGTCCAGGTGTCTGAGGAGGGGTGCATGCTGCAGGAGATCCCTGTCCAGGGTCCTTATGCTGTTATTTCGAAGTTGAAGCTCAGTTAGGTTCACCAGGTCCCCAAATACTGCGTGAGGCAGCTGGTCCAGGAAGTTATTGGACAGATCCAGCCTCTGAAGGCTTGACAGATTGGAGAAAACCCAACTAGGCAGAATGTTCAACTTGTTGTTCAAGAGCAAAAGGGTACGGGTCGCAGCAGGCACGTCTGGAGGCACTGTGGAGAGCCCCAAGCCACTGCAGTCTACTTCCAGACTCTGGCTGTCACATTTACAGGAGAAGGGGCAGGTGGGGAGAGTCTCTGCAGCATACAGGGAAATCCAGCAGGCAATCCCTAAGGAAAGGAGAGAAAGGAAGAGTAAATCTGAAAGTTCTAGAGAGAAGGTGACAGGAAAAAAAATAGAGAAACAGGGTCAGAAACAGAAACAGACAGAACCTGAGAACTATCTGGAAAGTGTCATCCTCCTAGTTAATAAGCTCACTGTCCTTGGTGTTTCCTCGTGGTAATCCTAATTTGCAGCTTTTAAATATTTCTTTTCAATTTACAAAGTGCTTTACGTTCATTATTTTACTTGATCTTCATGAAGACCCAGTGAGGTAGATAGTACAAATATTATTGCACCCATTTTATAGATAAGGAGACTGAGTTCTCTATGAAGCTAAGTAACTTGTCTAAGATCACACAGTTAAGTGGCAGAGTTGAAGTTCAAAAGCAGGTATTCTAACTCCAAATCTAGTGTTCTCTCACTGCATCATACCTATATCCCAATGGCATCAACCTCAATCTATAAGCAAATATTTATTGATTACATACTCTGTGCCCTGCAGTGGGCTAGAGAAGAGGAAGTAGAGCATTCCAAGGAAAGGGACTGGTGTGAGTAAAGGCACCGCATGGGAATATGGGCAGTGAATGGATTAGTCTGACAAAGGATTTATTTAGGGGCTGGTGGGAGATAATAAGTGAACCAGGTTAGGAGCCAGGTTGTAAAGGGTCTTGAATATTAGGCTAAAAAATATGAACCTTATACTGTAGACAAGGGGGGATCATTGAGAGTTTTTGAGCAGGGGAATGACATTGTTTTAGGACTGGTCTCAATGTATAGGATTTATTCCAGTGGGAAACTGATTAGATAGTGTTCTAATCCAAGAGTGGAATGATAAGGACATGGACTGTAATAGTGGCCTCAGAAAATGAAAAGAAGGGAAATGGCCATAGATCATCTAAGGATCATAGATATAAAGCTAGACGGGACATTAGAGATCATCTATTTCAACCTCCTCATTTTATAGTTGAGGAAACTAAGGTCCAGAAATATTAAAAGATTTGTCCAATACTACAGAAAAAGCAAGTAGCAGAACTAGAATTTGAACCCAGATCCTCTGACTCTTCACTATGGATGAAGGAAATATTAAAAGAAAGAATCAACTTGTCAAGATTTCTCCTTTGACCGGCATCAAGTAGCCCAACCATGCCTTACATTGTCTCTAGTGCCCAAGGGCATTGGAAAGTTACAGGCAGGGTGAACTACCTCCTACAGACAAAAGGGAAGCTTGAAGCAAGCAGTGACTAATGCAGTGTCTTGGGATGCCATGGAGAAAAGGTTAAAACTGCCCCATAGGACATGGGGCCAGCCTGATGAAGACTCATCTACACTGAGCTCCATGGGAGTCATCTTTCGCAGAGGACTACAGCTGCCTGCAAAGTAAAGCACTTAAAGGGGTCAGGAAAATCTCTTCTTGCTTACTTCCCCAATGCCATTCAAAAATCACTGCCAAGAGGGAGATAGTTGCTTAAAAGAAAATTGGTCTCCTTGTCATTTTGCCTGTTTCCCTCCATAAATACATAGAGGCAAGCCTTACAAAGAATAGGAGCTAAGTTAGGGAATTTGCCACAGTAGGTTTACATATTACTCACCCACCACTGGAAACTTGCCAAAGACCCAAGAGGGAGGTCAATTGCTTTACATACTCATGAATAGGTAAAGCCCAACCTCTAACAGAAGGTCCCACTCTTCAGAGGTGTCCCTGAGCATCATGAGAGTGATGAATATGGAATGCGTAGTGCTTCACCAAGCAAATGATGCTTGCAGGATGAGACTCCAAGCACAGAACTTAGATCTGGGAAGAGACCTTATGGATCATATAGTCCAACACCTTCATTTAGGAAACTGAGGCCAGAAATAAAGTAACTTGCCCAAGATTATACAGTTAGTAGTAGGACTGTGACTCAAACCCAAGTCTTCTAATACCAATCCTCTAATGCTTTTTTCAACACCATGCAATGCAGGCAGTGCAGGAAATTGGGAGGAATTTCCCAATAGGTGGACCATTAATGGAGTTTCTATCATTTCCACTCTCCATATCTCACTCAACTGTTACAGGACCACAATGTTGGACAGTCATAGAGTAGCCTAGAAAGAGTACAAGGCTTAGAAGTCTGTGTTCAAAACTTTGCTCCAACATTTACTAGTTGTGGCACCCTATTAGCAAGTCACTGAACATTTCTGAGTCTCAATTTCCTTATCTGTAAAATGGGAGTGATAATATTTGCACTATCTACCTCACAGTCTTGTCCAGAAAGCACTCTCAGAATACTATATAAGTGAGTTATGATGGGATAAGGAGAGGGATTGGGCTGGGAAATAGTACAGATTCAAGAAACTATCAATTCTCAAACTCAGAATGAATCTCTCAGCCATCCCTGATATATAGCCATCTAGTCTCTGCTTAAATACTTTCAGTAGCAGGGAAGCTCATTACTTCATACACCTGACCATAATTGGTCAGCTCTCTTAGCTAGTAAGTTTATGTAAAGCCAAAATCTGCATCCATTCTACCATAACCTATTGGTCCTAGTTCTGGACCTTCTGGAATAACCTAAAATACCAAAGGATGATAAATGTGTACAAAAATCACGAGCACATGCACACACACACACACACACACACACACACCACTGAAATTGAAACCTGCCTATCTCTCTTCATCACTTCCTCTTTTCTTTCCCTGTACTGAGCATAGTCAGCATATAACCATAACCTGCTGGTCTCCAAGTTCCTCCTTCCTACCAGCCATGTTAGCTGTTAATTGCAAATCAGAACCACCGAGCCCAGAGAAAAAAGGCCAGAAAGGAACAGGATGGAAGGTGCAAGGAGAAGGTGAGCTTTCATTCCTCCTTGCTTTACTGACCCCACCCAAGGAGGCATAATTAACCCTTTCAGCCTGTGTGTGTAGGTGGGGATGATACAACAAGCCCTTACCAGGAGGAGACTGGCTGCCTTGACGTCCTGCAGAGGGTGAAGCAGGGGTTAGAAGGAGAAGGATGGGACCTGCTCCCTCTCCTGCCTGAGTAACAGGGAGGATTGATGACAGCCTGGATGCCACAGCGGGAGGCTGACACCTGAGCCTCTTTGTCCTGAGCAGGAAGTAAGAGCAGGCTGGGGGATGTTAGCCAATTGGAGGCCTTCTTTAAGCCAACTGGGGTCACCTGTTTCCCACCCCCACCTTATTACACCAAATCACCTCATCTCTGTTGCTGCTGGATCAATTTACCTGCATGCCTTTAACTCCATCTACTCTGATATTGTTACTGTAACCCCCGGAAAATCAGCTCTTTACCTCTCAACCTCAGGAAAAATTGAGTCCCTGAGAAGCGAGCACAGGTTGAGGCTTGAGTGTTCATCCCCAGGCCACTTCCCAGGCAAGGGGCTGAATATGCCTTGAACCTTTCCCACAACTTTTCCCTGGGAGGGCTGCAGAACAGGTGGTTCATGTTCTGGTGTCAGGAAAACGATGCATCTAGGCGGTAGGTTTACTAATCCTAAAGTGAGGCTGAAAGAGGATCTGGGTAGCTCAGAGATCAACAACCATCCCTCGGTGAATAATTCAGGCTGTTTGTGGAGCAGTGAAGATGGACAGTCTCATGGAGAAAGGCAAAAAAAAAAAATCTCCCATAGCCTCTGCAACTCAGAAGATGGAAGAAGCCCTATACGTGGAGTCAGAAGACCTGGAGACATGGGCAAGTCTTTGAGCCAACTGGACCTCAATTTCCTCATCTATAAAATGGAGGAAATAGTCTCGGCAGTTCCTAACACAGAGGGTTGTTGTGAGAGGAAAGCACTTTGTAAACTGTTATGTTTTGTATAAATGTAGACTGTTGTTTTTAACCTGAGACAAAACACCCCACCATACTCACATCCTGCTCCTTAGCCTTGGTCATCTAGAAAAATAATGACCCCCTAAGATTTCTTTCTCCCCCAGAGAACTCACAGGTATCTGTGCTTTGTGAGGTAGAGACCAGGAGGCAGATACATAGGTAGGTATTTCATTAATTTCTCTAGACCTCAGGTTGCTCAACTATAAAATGAGGCATATTATATTATTTCTAGCTATCTGTAATATAAAATCTCTACGATCCTATCCATCTAAAATCCATTTTCTTCCACTTTACAGTTGGAATGAGTGAGGCACAGAGAGGTTAAAAGTTCTCCGGTTAGTAGTTAAACCAGAACTATCTTAGTTCTGAAAGTCTCTGAACTCCCAATCAAACAAGTATGTTTGAACCCTAAAACTATGAGGATATAACATGGTTGGAGTACAGACCAGGATAAGGAGGGGAGCTAGATAATCCCACTCAATTGTATCTATACTGTACTAATTCCTGAAGTCCAACCCAGATGATTGTGTGGCATAGTGCAGTCTGGCAAAGTCATTCTCCCTACTATGCATGTGTAGAAAGCTGAGACCTAGAGGGGAATGGATTTATTCAGACTTACCTAGTAAGGCAGAGGCACCACATCTGTAGAGTTTGGGGATTTTAGTCACAATGGGCTTTAACAGACGAGGGAGATTGGCTGGGCTTCTGATTCCCAGGCCAATGCAATAGTGCATTTAAGGTAGGTCTCACTTAGACTTCACTTTCAGCCTAAGTCCAAAATGTCACACCATGCCAAACCCCCACCCCTACTCCCCACCCCTTCTCCACCAGATAAGGACTATACTCACAGGAGAGCTGTCTCCACCTCAGGGAAAGCTTGCTTCTCCACCACTGGCCAATGCCCAATGCCAGCATGATGCTGAACCCTACAGGTTCTCTTGGTCCTTGATCTCTTGGGAGACAGGAGAGCCCTGCTTTGTCCTGCCTCTCAGTCCTGAAAGAGAGCAGAACAGAGAAGAGTATTTGAGTCATCTTTCTAGCACTGATGCTTGAGGGGTTAAGGAGAGGACCCTGGTATCATTTTACACTCCCCACTAATTCCTTATTTATTTGCTAGGTGGTAGGGATGGGGAACATGAGGAAGAAATGCCTAACCTCTCTCAGGCGTCTCAGAGGAGGCTGGACAAAGCTCAGTTCTTTAGACCAGCCACATGGGATGTTCCATTGACCAGATTTTATTCAAAGAACCATTTAACAGATCCAGGAGATAAAATTGGAGAGGGATGAGTGGGAGATGTTGCCAGAAGGTGTAGCACTGGGGACAGTATGAAGAATGATGGCTGAAGGTAGAAAAATCTGTGAAAGCAAGAATGACTGTTTGATGCCATCAGAATCCCTAGGCCACTGCAAGGCAGTGGGATTGGCCCAGGGGGTTGGGCGGCAGGAGGGGAGGTATGGAGGGGGTCAGGGGAGGGCTCTTCACTTACTGTCCATGTCATTGAGGAAGTGCCATGACTATGTATCAAGGTTTTCTGAGATATTTATAAGCACAAAGCCGGAGGACAAACAGTGCATATGGCATTGTGCTACAGGGCAAGTCAGACAGACACAGGAACTGAGTCAGAAACTCCCCACCCCCACTGTATGCCCTAAACCCTGTCTTTGCTAACTAGTTCTCAATCTGAGGAACTGCTCACAGATAGAGCTAGATAGATACTCCAGGATTCAGAACATCCCCATTTTAAAGGAAAAAACTAAAATCTTTGTGGTAGGTAGGCACAACCCTCCCCCACTTCCTCACTCCCACCCCTCACATTTTTTTCACCGCTGGAATGTCCCTCCTACCATGTGCACCGAGGTGGCAATGATTCAGCCCTTCCCAGGGCTTCAGCTGGAAAAGGGGGAGCAGAGGCGTGCCCCAGGGACAGCCTCCAGCTCCCCTTGTCTCTTTGGAGGTGAACTGGAATGCTCTGTCTTCCGCAAACAAGTCTATAATAAGGCTCATCAGCTTAGGGGGTTCATGCTGCAGCAGCTGCACACTCTAGAGAGACACACAGAGTAAAAGAATAAGTCTCAGGGCAAAGAGAGGAGTAGAAAATGGGGGAAGGGGAGGATGGAAAGGCAACATTTCTATTTCAGATAAGGAAGGGGGGGAGTATTTTTCTTAATTTTCTAGAGAGTCAAAGATATTCCCCACAACTAGCCCCATCAATAATAGCTGAGTAAGAGGGAAGACAGGTTCCCCATTACTGTCTCCCTCCCACCCAGTTGTGGCCAAGAATGGTTGTCCTGCAAGGATATGGCAAAGATAAACAACTCTAGCTGACATGGGGTGCATGTATGTGTGAGTGTGTGTATGTGTGCATATGTGTACAAAGTTAGCTATAGCAAGGGAAGAATAGAGACCATACCAAAATTCTCCCACATGCCTTATTGTTCTCCCAAAATAAAAGTCCAGTCTAAAGTAAGATAACTTCAAAATATCACATGAACATAGCTCTACTGTCCTTCTAATTAGTATTCCCCTCTCCCCTCCAAATCTCATCAAAAATAACTGCATTGGAAAAGGAGGCAGGTAGGCACTTACCCAAAGGGGTCCTATCTTCCCTGGTTGCAGGTATACACATCCCTGGGCGATGCCTGGTTGCTGCTTCCCCTTTCTGGCTCCAGATCCTGTTCCTTTTACTCCTTCTTCCAGCCCTATTTAATTCTCTCCCCCTGAAGAGCCAACAACAGAGTTAAGCTGACAGCCAAGACGGGGATCCAGTAGCCAAGAAGCTTGAGGCCTCATCTTAGAAATCCCAGCATCTAGCAAGCCTGTCTCTCCCCCGGGCATTAGGATCTTCCTTAACTCCCTCCCTCTGTTCTCCTCCCCTCTCTCCCTCTGCCAAGTTATATAGATAGCTCTGCTCCTTGAACCTCCAGTGCAGCTGCCTTTACTGTTAATATCGCTGCCTTGCCTGCCACCAGTGGTTTAGCTGAGAACAATATTATCTGGATAGCTTGGTTTGGCTCTGGAGAGGAAGCCCTTGACTGGGACTGGAAAAGAGGGCTCCAGTACCCAACCATTGTCCCTTCTCTTATTTTTTCCCCTTTTTTCTTTCCCTTCTCTTATTTTTTGCCCTCTCACCTCTGAGAGAGGGGTGGAAGCAGTCTTCCAACATCTGTTCTCCCTGCAGAGGGAGCCTCATGGGTACCAATGACAATGAGATATGTTCCCCAAGACTGTGACCTTTGCTATCGACATCTTGGCAGGAGGTATGGGGTCCAGATGCTGAGCTCCATTCAGCACAGCCTGCTGCCTCATTCCAACATCCACAGAACGGGAGATTTAGGGAGATATTTGAGCTTATCAAGCTTGCCCTTCCGTAGCACCCAGAAACACAGCTCATTTTCCTCTGAGAATTCTCTGTACCAAGAGCCACAGGAAAGCCTTAACCCTCAGCTCTAAGTTGCAGCAGGTTCTTGGGACATGTCTTTCTGGACAAAGAAATTAAAGATCAGTGACGTGTGCACAAAACATGGGCTCATCTATCTCCCCATACCTGGACTCCTGGCACAACATACACTACAGGGAACTGAAAGATATATGCATGGATGTGTGCCATACACACATCAAGGACATTTTCATGCATGTATGTACAAGTGTATGAGGATAAGAAACAAGGTCCTTCAATATGTATACTTCATAGAGACGAAGGTCCATGCTTACATCACCTGTCAGACATTGGTACTGATCATAAAATATATGATTCCTGCAAGAACTTTTGCCCCAAGGGCTCAAGGCACCTTGAGAATATTACCTTGAATCACTATGTTATAGCTGACCGCAGAAAAACTGGTTAATTATTCATAATCATATAGGAAGTTAAGTTGTATCACAGAATTTTTTTTAGCCAGGAGGTACATTAAAGAGTTCAACTCGCTAATTTTAAAGATGAGGAGATTGAAACCCAGAGAGACCAAGTTGCAAACAAGATCACACAGTTAGTTAGTGGAAGAGCTAGAAACAGAAATTAGGTATATTGACTTGTAGTTCATTGCTCTTTCCATTTCAAGAGAATGGAACTAAAAATGAGTTCCAGGATACAGAGCCAGAGAGCCCCTCCACAACTACATAGCTCAGCTAGCATATGCCCTATGCCTATCATCATTCACTGGCATCTGCAAAACCTGTGCAGAATGGGGTGCACACATGGGCCTCCCCGGACACGTGCTTACAGCTCGGTACATAAGCATGTGACACAAACACACACCCACACAAAGCTCCAGATACACACACACACACACACACACACACAAACACACTCCAAAGCTTGCTAGCTAGTTTCTAACACCCACCCATATTGACAACACTCAGATAGCAAAGAAAGGAGCTTCCCAGTTTTCTAAATCCTCTCAGCAGGCAGGTGTCCAGGAACAGCTCCAGTCCAGAGTTCAATAAGGAGGGACTCAGCAGGCTACCAGGCAAAGGAAGTCCAAAGAAAACCCCCACAGGTTGTCCCAAGCCAGAGAAAATCTCTGAGCTCAGACTGGAGCTATTAACAAGATTCTTCTCTCTCATTCAACTTCCCTTCCCACTCTTCCTGGCTTCAAGCTCAGGTCCAGGTAATGGAATAATTGCTGTAGGAGGAAGGTATCCCCTACAAGTATATTTGGAATTATTCCCTCTTCCTAGTCTGTTCCGTCCACCTGAGGAATTCCAAACTTTCAACTAGCCTCCCCCATGATCCTTGTGATGTACCGTGGAGGGGGGAAAACTAAGAGACCCAAAAGGGTTGAGCAGAGGGCAGTCAGTCATTAGAAGACATGCCCCTAGAGTGTAATTCCTATTTACTTTCCTCTCTCTCCTCTCCATACACACATTGGGATGTGAAAATCTGTATACAGTAGGCTAGGCAAATCCCATGATGCCAAACCATTATGCATTGTTTCAAGAAGTGGCAGGTAGACTTTTAACCTTTCCTTTTGTGTGCGTGAAAAATACAAAATGTTTCCATAAGCCCCTAGGAAGATATTCAGTTACCCTTTGATGTAGTCTAACTCACATACCATAGGTGAACTAATATTAGACATCTAAGCTTATCTGGTAAGGGGAAATGGTAAAGGATTTAATTTAACACTCATCTCCAACTGGGTTAATGCCAGAGGACAACGCTATGTAAATGTCCCTTGAGGATATATAGGAATAGAACCCAGAAAATCATGGCTCCTTAGCTTGCTGCCCACCCATATGCCTCCTGCCAGAGGACCCTCCCTGCCCCAATATTATACAGCCTCATTAATAAAGGGGGTGACCTACATTGGGGAGGCTTGGAGAGCAGCTGCTGCAGCAGGCGCTGACCAGCTGCTGAAATAAATTAACAGTCTGAAGGGGAAATCCACAGGCAGGGTGGGGATTAAGGTACAGGATCACAGGGCTACTGTTAGAAGAGTCTTTCTTCACTATTCCCTCCAAATCCTTCAGCTCCAAGATGTTTTAGCTACTTCCAGTCCTCAGGCATGTCAAAATGCCTAACTCCTTATACCTGGGTTCCAGGAATTATGAAAGATTGAGGAGGACTGTAACCCCAGTATTGAGTCTATGCCTGCTTCAGTTGGGTTTTAAAGCACAAGGGCTGACTGGTTGAATCAGTTCAATTCAATTCAACATTCATTTAACAACTACTTTATAAAAGGCACTATGTATACACTGGGGATATGCAAACAAAAACAATATAATTCCTGTCCTCAAAGAACTTACATTCTCCAGAAGAGATTCCACATAAATCTAGACAAGAAACACAAAGTAATTTGAGGATGGAAAAAGCACTAACAACTCGAGGGAAAGAAGAGAATCAGAAAAAGCTTCACTTAGAAAGTGGCACCTTAGAAAGCCATGAATGAAAATAAAGATTCTGAGGAGTGGAGGTGAGGAGGGAGAGCATTCCAGGCATGAGTGATA